TAAGATGAATGCATTTTATAAAAGTCTTTAATGGAAGCTACAATTTCAAATATATAAAGAAAACAAAAACTATAACTTACCAGTAGCACCTAAAAATTATAAAACTATTTCTAATAGGTTTTGAAAGGATATGAGTAGTGGTTTCAGTAAACACTGTAACGCATCACAATCCGTCAAAGAATCTTCCAGTCGTTGAATGATTTCAGCAGTAGATTTATTTGTAAGATCCATAACCTGAAAATAAACCTAGCCATGTGATGTTCGGGCTTTTAAACAAATAGTAACTTTAAAGTTACCAGTAAGTGATCATGACTTGAAGTGTGTTTTCAATATTATTGAATTTTTGGTGTTTTTTAGCGAATTTTCCATATAGGCTAGGGAATAAGCTATTACCGTAGTAGCCTACTCATGGTAAGACCTGGACCCCCCGACCCGCGACCGATTTAATTTTTCATTTTGAGGTCCCTAGAGGCCAAAAACACCATCCGTTCAAATTCATATATTTAAATAACGGTATATATATATTTATATATATATGTCCGTTAGCGCGATAACTCGAGCAAAAATGATCCGATTTTGATGAAATTTGGTACAAACAAGTAAACCTACGTTTATTCTAACGAGTTCGCGATCCCGCATAATCGGACCATGGGAACGGGGAGTATGCTAGTATAAATTAATGAGTCGGTTCATTAAATAGCCTAACCTTTAACTTACCTCAGTTAATTCAAAACCCTTAATACAGTCACGAATCCGCATAAAGTCCAACCTATCTTCCTCACATGCCTTTTCTGACATAAAATGTGATTTAAAAATTAAGTTAAGGTTGGGTTGGGTTAAGTAAGGTTAGATAATTGGACATTTCACTCCCATGTAGGCCTAGGCCCTAAATACAGATTAAAACTTGAGAGAAGGTAAAACATTCCTCCTCTTACTCATCCTTTAACTTGACATTCTACTCCATCTGTGTAATAACCAAAGGATCTTAACTAAATACATTTACTGATGTTAGTAAGCTTAAGCTAGGCCTAGGCCTAGAGGCTATCTAGTATGAATTTATTATCCAGTTCATGTTACTTACTTCAAGGTAAACAGTTGATTTTGCAACTTTTCATTTAGGCCTACACCATAGTAAAATTGACTAGGCTACCATGTGAAACATAAATTAGGTAAATTATGAAACATAAATTAAATTGTGAGTGAGTAGTATTCCTAACCACCAACCAAAATTCCAGTCCAGTTTGTGTTGTGTTGTCGTTGTGATTGGGCGATTGTGTTTTGTGTTGTGTTTGTTTGTTTTAGTTTTCCCTCCACTTGCCTGCCTAATCAGTATTTTTCTCAAACTAAAAATTCTATAGGTGAGGTAAAATGGTTCTCATGTAGCCTACCTCAACTGCTTATTTACTAGTATTGTTGATTATAGAATAATCCCTACTACTTAATAACATTGCCCCTATTATTGATCTATGGGTGTATACCCTGGTGGAAGGAAAAGTATACTCCAGGCTGCGGCCTGGTATACTCGGCCTGGTAACGAACCGGCAACGTAACAAGTAGTGTTGTTTAGTGCCAGGCCAGAACCACGGCCGCCTTTAACTCCAGGCCGCGGCCTTCAAACTGGCAACATCGCAAGTGGTGTTGTAACAGCTGATTTTTTGGAAGCAACTAATGGTATTTGTCACTGAGCTATAATTCTAACTGGAGGTAGCACTGAATGTCAAAGATGCGTGTCGCCAGCCACCATGTTTGCGTGAGGTGTAAGTTATAAGAAGCCATATTATTGCTATGGCTATTATTATACTTGGCTTAAAATACCTACTTTGTATGGTCGCCATTTCAAAGAAAATTATTAAAGTATTAAAAGTATTCAAGTATGACAAAAATACTCACTGCTATACCAACCTAGTTATAAGAAGCCATGTTATTGCTATGGTAAGAAAACTTACTGCTATACCAACCTAACAAAATCAGCGACTCGCTTTTGACAGACTTCTGCCATGGCAGTGCTACCTCCAGTTATAATTTTAGCTCAGTGGTATTTGTGTATTTACGTAAGATTGATTACTGGACTATGACAATATTGACTCCGCTTAAAAATGTACAGATATAGATTTTAATTCATATTGTTTCAATTTTCAATTCTGTATGTTTTATTTTCAATATTTTAATAAATTTATGTTCATAAATTAAAAAATAAATCAATAAAGTGCGAATTAATGAGCTGATGTCCCCTGTCTGCCATGTTATCTTATGGGACGTCTGTCCCTGAACAACACCACTTGCCATGTTGCCAATTCTACCAGGCCGCGGCCTGTAGTTAAAGGCGGCCATGCCAGAACACGGCCGCCTTTTTGCGTATTTTAACCCAAATATGAGCGAAGGATGAGTGTAAAATGGTGTGTGATGATCTGTGTAGCTTTGTAATTGACTACTATCAATGGTTTCATTAGTCAGAATAATTTATTTAAAGCCCAATGATCAGGAAAAGCTGGGTCCAGTTTTGAATCATCAAAATAAAGCTACTGCCTTTTCTTTGGAACGAACCGGCAAGCTTTTGATTACTAAGCGAGCACTTTAGCCATTCAGCCACCCAGCCAGTTAAAACTATAACATAATATAACATAATTTGAGTCAATTTTTAATATCCCAGTAACTAAGCTTTCGTATTAAAAAAATACTCAAAAACCATTAGCTGCCTACAAATAAAACAGCTGTTACAACACTACTTGCGACGTTGCCACTTCGAAGGCCGCGGCCTAGAGTTATTATAAACTAACCATAATAAGACATCTTCGGGAATTAAGATTATATTTATTTAATTCCTTTGTAGTTCCCTTGTAGTATGTCGTAAATCTAGTTCAGGTGTGGATGGGGTTCCGTGTAAGGTACTGTTGGCTTGCGTTGATGTAATCGCAAAACCATTATCTGTGATCATTAATAAGTCTTTTGACGAAGGAAAATTTCCAGACATAATCAAAACTTCAAAAATCGTTCCTATACACAAGAAGAATAGTAAAAAGGAGGTAAGCAATTATAGGCCAGTGGCCATACAGTCAGTTTTTTCAAAAAATTTTGAAGTGGCATATTTAAATAGATTGATACCATACTTAGAAAAAAATGACATTTTAAATTCTAATCAATATGGATTCCGTAAAAATAAGTCAACAATTGATGCTGTGTTCTCGCTGATTAACCATGTACATGAAAAGGTAGATTGCTCGGAAGAAGTACTTGGACTATTTTATGATATGACTAAGGCTTTTGATTGCCTAAATCACTCGATCCTAAGATTTAAACTACAAAAATTGGGTATAGTAAATGCACCTTTAAATTGGATTATGTCATTTCTTGGAAATAGATCTCAGTTAGTAGCCGTAAATAACTTAGGTGCTAATAATGTCATAAGGCAATACAGATCAAAAATTCAGAATAACATCAACACTGGAGTCCCGCAGGGCTCAAATATGGGACCTGTGCTGTATTTGCTATATGTCAATGATTTACAAGAGACAATACAAGAGGGAGCTCTTTGGCTTTTTGCGGATGATGTTTGCCATATAGTTAACAATAAAAACTCTGAGGAAACAATACGCAAGTCCCAGATAGGCGTTCATCAGATGGAAGAATGGTGCAACGACAACAAATTAGTACTAAATGAAAACAAAACATCAGTTTTAAATTTTTTCAACACAAAGGCACCTGACCATAGCCCTCTCTTAAAATTAAAAAATCAAAACTTAAAAATAAATGATAACGTAAACTATCTTGGAATCAAAATAAGCAATAACCTTAGATGGAATATCCACATTGATCATATAACCTCAAGACTTGTGGTAGTATGTTGTCTTATGCGCAGACTACAAAACATAGTGGATCATCATATCCTGATGAAAGTTTATTATGGCTGCTTTCATAGCGTATTGAGTTATGGCATCGTACTTTGGGGCAACAGCAGTGAAGCAAACAGAGTCTTTCTACTACAGAAGAGAATTATTAGAATAATATGTAAAACCCATTTTTTAGAACATTGCAGACCACTTTTTATTAATCTTAAAGTTCCCACCCTTACCTCCGTTTATATATTGGAATCAGCTATGATGATATGGAAATTTCCGGAAGTCTTCAAACGCAACCACGAAGTACATAATTACAACACCAGGCAACAAAACCATATACACCTGAATTGTCACCGAACATCATTAGTAACAGCTGGACCACATCATACTGCAAGTAAGATATATAATAAAATGCCAGAAGAAATAAGAAGCTGCCAAGACAAAAACTTATTCAAGAAAAAACTCAAAAATTATTTAATAGAAAAGGCCTATTACAAGTTGGAAGAATTTTTGGAGGAGTAAGAGAAGATAGGCCCTACCTGAAAATTAAACAACTTTGACGACCACGGCTGGAAAGCTACTAGTGGGATCAACACAAGTATACAAGTATACAAGTAAGTTGTATGCGTCTCAAAAACACTTTGTTATTACTTTTCAAATACACACTTAATATCAATTTAGTTCAAACCACTCGTACGCTTTACGATTGTTCAATATTTTACTTAAACTAATTTTATAAGAATGTATTAATCTAAAAAAATGTATATTACTTAATCACCTTAAAATTACGAGTAATTAAGATAAATTTTAAGTTTATGAATACACTACAGTATTTTCAATTTGTTATAAAGACATAAGTGTTTATATCAATTACTAGGGATAAGGTACAGTTTGGAAAAAGTTAACAAGAATTAAGAATTTGGAAACTTGTCAATTAATTAGATAATCAAAAGCTTAAAAAGGAAAGTTAACCTCGGAGTCTCATGGGATGAATCAGACTTTACATGGCATTAGCATATATAAAACATTAGTAAAGAAAAAAGGAAAACTTTAAGAACATCAGGAACACTGGAACTGGATCGAATTTGGATCTTGTATACTCACTCGACACTCACTCAATCTCAGTTTCATTCTGATTCTGAGTCACTTCAGAGTCAGAGTACACTTGACTACACACTACACTAGGCCGATTCATCATCATCGACATCATCACTAGGGCTCAGGTTTTAGGTTATAGAAGATAACAAGTAAAAACAGTTTTTTTCGCTGCGCTGAAGCATTGTCGTTTTATAAAATTTAAATAGGCTAGACCTCAAGACCTCCTCAAAAACCAAAGAAAATGGCTGGATCATCCTCCGTCAGCTTTGTGAAGTCGTTATATTATGACCCCTTTAAATGGTAAGGTTTTAGTCTGTTATACCTTTACCCTAAGTAAATTAGGTACCACAATGATGAATAAATAGCATTAGTGTAGTACTGGTTCAACTATCTTGATATCTATGCAAGGTTTTGTAAGCTACCCAACAATATTTAGGCCTAGTTTAACATTGCATTTTATCAAATGATTGTCTTCTATCTTTGACTATTGATGCAACTAGACATTCCATGATCCATCCCCATGTTAAATTTGTTGCCAGATTAATAACAAAATTGTAAGCTGGTGTGAGCTACCGGGGCCACCGACAGATTCTCTGATCTAAATTACTGGCAATTATTTAATACCTATGTCTACAACGCGATATCGTGTAGTTTTTAGATGTCTACTTACAGTTTTTCTCACGCTGAATCCAAAAATGCAATCAGTTGTTGTTGGAGAGATTCCTAAGTGGCCGTAAAATGAAGGTTAAAATTATGAATTTAAAGTTCATTGAGCGGTAACTTACACTGATAGTACTATGGCGTGGTCTGAGGACTGAGCGAGGAGGAGAGCAAACAGACTAACTAAATTGAATGACTAACGGTTTGGTTAGCTGTAGGCCTAGCAAACTGTTACGTCTCATCAACCTTGTGGTTAACTTACAGTTTCTTAACTGAGCTACACTACTATTGATTGAAAATATTGATTTGATTAGTAAACCTTCATTCAAGTTTTTTTATCAAGTTTGTTTGTTTTCACAGTTTTATTTTAAGATTGATTTAATTAAGTTAATAATAATATTAGTTATTAACTTACTTTTAATTGATGGCTATAGATAAGAAAAATCAAATTTTGAAGGCTTACTAATCGAATTGATATTTTTAGTCGATAGTAAGTTAGCGTGTAGACAAGCTAAGAAACAGTGCCCAACCTGGTCAGCAAAAAGGATAAAGTAAAAATAGAACTTAAGACACTAACCTTAGCAGGTAACTTAGGTGTGCATTCTGTGACTGGCTCGAACACAACTAAGATAACATTATTTTTTTAACAAAAGATTGGCTAGTTCAATATTTATCTTTTAGTTTCCCAATTAAAGATTGTCACTAATTATTTGTTCTAATGTCCTCAAAGGTCAAAATCGTGTAAATTCGGATTTTTATAAAATTCTGTATAAACAATCAACTTAATCTTGCATTAATTAAAACTAGTTTGTGAATCAGCATGATCGGACTATGGGAGCAGGATTTTGTGGGGTACTGTTATGTGCACTTTATGTTGACGTTGACAGAATAAACTCTCCAGACTGAAATTTTAAATTACCTTTGCGTATTTATGGAGGACTAGCAGAGTACCCATCCTTCGTACGGGGTTGGCATATAAGTTTAAACTGCTTATTGCAGTTATACTCAAGCTTTGTGTTTGCAATGGGGGAGGACAAAGTTTGATAAAATTTGCTTCCTTAAATTGACGGTATACTATGGTATTACACATCTAACATAGCCATAATGTTCTACCTCTTCACCTAAGCAATAAAGAAAAATAAAGTATTACAAATTTAAAAAATCACAAATTATTCATGACATTTAAAACATAAACATAACTGTAAACAATCCTACTTTGACAGTTAGTTCTCTTGCTGCTTAGTTCAAATTAGCTGTTTACATAAATGAAAAAAAATATAGTGCTGCACCCTGTTGGTAAATCTTATAACTTTTTAATGCTTTTGTATATCATAGAACCAACTTTTTTAGTTGAAACAGCTGACTAAATTCTTTAATTCCCTTTAAATATGAATACTCATAAGGTTAACATGAGGAAGTACAGAGCCACTGGGGCGGAGCCCGAAGGGATTTTTGAGATAAGAATATGCCTATAATGTTAATCGGGAATGTGAGCTATCATCATGCCAAATTTCAGCCCAATCCATCCAGTGGTTTATGCGTGATTGACCTTCAAACAAACAAACAAACAAACAAACAAACAAACACAAACTTTCACATTTATAATATTAGTAGGATAACTTAAATAACTTAACTGAATTAGTTTGGTTCTTTATGGATATTGGGTACTTTGATCTAATTTTGCAAAATTATTTTTATTTCAACCTATTAACCGGAGGCTGGTGTAAGTAGGCCTAAGTTATAGGCATCACAGATGCATACTAAGATGCCTGCGCTACCCACAAAACAGTTAGCACTGAATAAATTTTGTTAATAGTCATCAGTAGTGTAAACGTAAGTTAGGCCTAGTTGTAAATCTTTTCCAGTGTGGGAACAAACCATTTTTGTAGAACAATTTGGGTCGCTAATCAATATATAGATTCTTTAGTAGGAGTAGGAATGCTGTTCCTGCTGCACTACACCACTGCTGGTCATGTTTTACTATTGTAATTACTATGTTGACCATGGTTGCAGTCAAAAATTTGCCCTTAATATTCGTCATTGTTAATATTTAGCGTGTTAAAGCTTTATTCAATATGAGTGTGGGAGATGTTTATGATTTTGCACCGATGTTGGTGTCTGGTGTCATCAGGGCTGTAAAAGGCCATTTGACATAAATTATCTGTTATGTCCAATAGCTCAATAAATTATTTGATTTAACATAAAATATTCATCCAAGCAAAGAGACACACAATGGGTTTTAAATTCCAAAAAAAGTTAAGTTACATAGACACTACAGCTAGGGATGAGCATCGAAAAATCTATGATTAACATTGCTAAGAAAACATCGATGTTTTTTTACTTAAACATCAATGTTTTTACATTTTTTTCAGTTTTGCATCTGCTTTTTGTACTCTCCAGTAATGGAAAACATTGATGGCTCAATAATTGGGAAAAAACATCGATGTAACAAAAACATAGGTAACCTACCATAGATGTAACAACATCAAACATCGATTTTTCAAGAACATCGACTATCGATGCTCATCCCTAATAGACCCATTGGACAAAGGTTCATGTGCTTTTTAATCTAGCTAACATTTTCTCATGTTTTTTTTCTAGGAGTCTGGTCAAGAGCTTTGGGTGTTTCCTTCTTGGAATCGCAATAGCAAAAGAGTTTAAAGGTGTTGAAGTCATGCCAGCTATAGTGTGAAGATGGACTTAACCTAGCCAATATCTGTGAACGTATCTTTACTTAATTTCAGTTGCATTATTTTTTTATCAGTGTTATTAATTTAAACATTTTCAATGATTTTGTACAATTTAATTGGACCCCTATAGCTATTGAGACACCTTAATCATTGCATTTAGTTTACATAATGGAAGCTAATTTATAGCAGAATGAGTTGATCAAATCCAAATGTTTATATTTAGTTTTTGCTAATATTTAGCATAGTCTCCAAACGAGAGCCCAAGATATTAGTCATTAATTTAATTAAATAAATAATTTTTTTGTTACATAATTTGAATATATTTTTATTTATCCTCTTGACACACTGTGCTGTTCTGTAGGCTTACCATTGTTTGACTCACTTGTGTTTCTGACCACATGAAATTGTTTTGTTTTACAGAGGCCACCAAACTAGGCTAAATTATCACTCTTTGATACAATTTAAGCTGCAGAACCTTTTCCCCAAGAAGCATCATTGCACTTCCACTCATTCGGCAAACTGCCATTTTAAGTCATGTCTCCTTTTACAGAACTAGCTGGCCCGACAGACGTCGTCCTGTCCTAATGGGGTTTTATGTCAAATGCTCGTTCATTTTCAAGATGAGCTCGTTCGCATGGCTCAATCACGTCCTGGTTGAAGTTTGTTTGTTACGCTCACTCACCTTTTGGTTGCAAATTAGCTGTTGTCATAAATTTAAAATAATAATAGTGCTGCACCCTGTTGGTAAACCTATTAACTTTTTAATGCTATTGAATATCACAGAATCAAATTGTTTAGTTGAACCAGCTGTTAAGATTTTTTAGTTCCATTTAAATACGAGTACTCGTAAGGTTAGCATGGGAAACTTCAGAGCCACTGGGGCGGAGCCCTTTTGATGGATCTGCACCAAACTTCACACAAACCATCCTTGAATAATGCTTAATAATGCCTGAAAGTTTCCTTACGATCTGGGGAGCGGTTTCGGAGTCCATAAAGGACAAACATACAAACAAACATACATTGGATTTTATATACAGGGTGTTTTTTTAAAAACTTGCATCTTTTTTATTTAAAAACCGCAATAGATAGAAATATGCAGTTTGTGGGAATCATCTTAGGGGGACTTAGGGGCCCAATTGTTTTGAATTCTACGTTACATTCACATTCCCCCCCTGCCACCAACTTAATTTTTTTAAATAGCAAGGTACCCCTTGTGACATATCAAATAAAAGAGCATAAAAAAAGAAAATTTTTGATGAAAAAAAATTGAAAATCGGTTCATAAATTTGCGAGATATTAGTTCCGGGGGGGGGGAGGGGGGAATATCTCACAAATGTATGAACCGATTTTCAATTTTTTTTCATCAAACATTTTCTTTTTTCATGCTCATTTATTTAATATGTCACAAGGGGTACCTTGCTATTAACAAAATTAAGTTGGGGGCAGGGGGGGAATGAGAATGTAACGTTGAATTCAGAAAAATTGTGCCCCTACGTCAATAGATGATTCCCGCCAACTGCATACTTTTATCTATTGCGGTTTTTACATAAATAAAGATGCAAGTTTAAAAAATAACACCCTGTATATAGATGTGACTAAGAGAACCAAAAGCTTCTGGAAGGTGGTAAGAAATTAATATCTACATCACTGATCACTACATTTTTTTTACAAACTACTGTAATTTCATTTGCGGTCTTACAGACAGTCTATAGCTTTTCAATGGTTTTTGTGAATCCTCAATGTTAATAATGTTACATTTGTTTGTGAGAAGATTTGAATAAGCTAAAGAAATACTTGAGCAAATAAAATTAGAATAAATGTGTTGGTAAGTTGTGTAGTTGTATATATTTTTAATGAATTTCCCATAGCCTAGGGAATAAGGTAGGTCTGATAGTAAATCCTGGGCCAGTTCAATTTTTAACTTACTTTTTTGTTTTGAGGTCCCTAAGAACCAAGACACTATTATGTTCAAATTAATTTATACATTTAGGAAGCACATAATAGTACGCCCTCTATACATCCCAAACATAAAATGAGAAGTCATCTTCAGCTGCTCCAAGGATGATCAATATATGAGAGATTCTATTAAACCTATGCTACAATCTTTGGATAAAATAAACTGTATCAGCATCAGCAATCTGGCAAATAACCTTCTCCCATTCGCTTGTAAATGACCTTAAGTAATCGAGTAACTTATATTTTAAAGGAAAAATCACAACAGTTACAATAGCTTTTGATCAGCAATGGGGGGTTGCACTACATTTGGTTTAGAATTATAAGGACCATAAACATACTAATAATTTCAATCAAAACTAACTTTAAAAAAATTAGATTTCCAGCTATTTAAAATGTTTTTTTTTTCTAATAACACAAGTAATTTGAACCGTAATTTTTACAGCAATGGTGGTTAGCCCATTTTGTTCAGAACGTAAGAAACTTCTGATTGGGCCTGGGCCTATCTATAACATTCAAAAAATTGTATTAAAATCATTTGGGCCATTTTAGAGAAAATTCGGTTTTCCGTTAGTTATGGGAAGATCACCTTTAAAATTAAAATAAACACCCATATGGATTAGTACCCACATACCAAATTCCATCAAAATCGGCTACAGATGTGGTCACATAGACAATAGACAACATAGAGACATGCGCAAACAAAACACACAAACATCACTCCTAAACTTTAGACGAAAACAATACTTTCTCCATAACTATGTATAGGGGGAGAAAGTAAAATGTAACATGGGAATGGAAGAGAGATGGTTAGTAGTAATCTGATTTAAATCCGCTCTAAGCAGTACAACCCATGTAATATATACGCTTTTATTCAATATCTTGCATACACTACGATTTTTAAGCGTGGCGACCCTATCATGAACATAACACTTTACCAATAAGTATAAGCATAGATAAAACATACTCCCTTGTATGTTTTATCTATGGTATAAGCTTATTACTTGAGTACTTACTTACTTACTATTGAGTTTATTGAAAACAACGATTAAATTCATTATATAATAAATTGATATTAATTGTACAGTGCTGGCCAAATTATTAGACTAAAATTCATTTTTATAGTTATTTGGTTTTTTTTAGCCAAAAAACTATTTTATTACTGGTTAAAGTACATATTCTTATTTGTGTGTTATTTTTAAATATTATAAGCTAAAAATTCTGTTTTTTTATTTTCACAGGTGGTAGCCCTGAATTATTTCTTTATTTTTGCTGTTTTTACACCAAAGGCAGGGGTGCCAACTGCAAAATTAAAAAATGAAGTTTTCAGCTTATACTATACTTAAGTAACATACAAAAGACATTTTATACTTAAATAGGCAATACAATAATTTTTTATGCAATTTTTATGTACGAAAAATATAAAAAAAAACATGAAAAAAATGCATTAGCCTAATAATTTGGCCAGCACTGTAACGTCTAAATTGTGTACTTATTCAACAACATAATTTTCCACTTGCCTCTTTGAAATATTTTCCTTAAAGTCTGGTGGAATTTAATTATAATGGGGGGGAATTTACCGCCAGCTGATAGCTTGATGATGAGGCCGTCGGCCGAGTGCTTGATGTCTGCCACTGCCAGCCGAGCCAGCTGCCTCCAAGTCTGTCAACGCCAAGCAAATTGTTGACTTCTTGGTTGTTGATTAAATTTCATTCAAATGAAAATGTCGAATTTCGGGGAACTAATTAAATCTGAATTTCCCAAAATAGACGATGACCTTTATGGCTACGTTGAAGGTAATGTGATTAAGATATAAGATTATTTCAAACATAATCCTTCTACCTGAATTATTACACTAGGTTAGTTATGGACTATCCTAACCTATAGAACGGGGCATTGGCGATTTTATATAATGCCTTAGCCACATTGCTATATTTTTGTTGGATTTTGTTTCTAAATTTTAAGATATTGCTAGGGACGTGAGACAAGCTAATTGTTTTTTTGTACTGAATGGTGAATAAATCTTTTGAATCATTGCCAAACCCGGATAGGTTAACTTACTTACAGATTGTAAAGTACTGTAAACTTTATTTAAATTGACTTTTTTTATGTCTTTTGTGCACTGTAATAAAATTATGCGAGGCCTAATATAAGGTTCTTAAATAATTTTTAACTTTTCCATACAAAGATTAAGCCAAGTTTGATCTATTTATGTTTGGCGTTTGATTGAATTCAGTTTTTCAAGAGCTACGAAACATAAGATAAAAGTTTAGTTAGGTACGGTACAGTAAAACCTAAGCTTTTGAGAGGATCGGAAGTTTAAGTAGGCCTAGGCCTATTTATGACATTACATTTGGTCAACCAGCATTAGGCTATATAGGCCTTAATCATAAAATAACTTAATAGTTAACTAGGCCTAGTGAACAGGCCTGCGTTTAGAGAATAATGAGTAATTTAATTACTAAATATTGTTACAAAGTTTGGCAACACTTTGTTCTCTGACTCCATTGTGGTTATTAATTTTTACAATCTAAAGTTTGAAGTTTGGTTTTTGGCTATAGTCCTCGCCACCCTAAGTTGAGGCAGCCCAAGGTCGCACTATATCTAGTGCGGGCTAGGGCCGCCTCAACTTAGGGTGGCGAGGACTAAGTTAACTTATAGGCTATGTTTTGATTATTGATCAAATCGATATTTTTATGTTTGATATACGATGGAATTGGATACCGGTAGCCTATCAAAGTTTTACCCAACATTTTAGGTACCGGTACGCTACTTTTTTGGGATTAAACTTTAAACTTGATATAATCTATTTAAACTTAATACTTAATACTTTCTTATTAAATGGCGACCATACAAAGTAGGTAGGATATTAGCCAAGTAAGTTAGTACCTACGTTATATTATGTACCGGTACCTATATAAAGTATATATAAAGGTATATATTATGTAAGTAAGTATGTAGTATGTATGTATGTATCTAAGTATTATCCCATTCCACAATATCAAAACAGTTTCTGTTTAACTAAAGCCTTGGCTAAATCAACTTTTTGGTTATTATTCAACTAGGAGTACTGTCTAATGGCGCTGAAGACTTTGAAGATAGTGAAGAAGTCTATGAAGCCATCGGTGGTCTGCTCCATCAAGTTGCTTGTGACAAAACGGAGGAAGATATTAGGTAAAGTATTAACCAAGATATAGGCTATATTAATCGGCAATCATGTTTCTCAAAAACAATTTTTCTCAGCTCTTGTGTATCACTGGTAAAATTTATGCCTAGGCCTACTTTTAGATAGATATTTTAATAGCCTACATGTGTTTTAAAAGTTCAATTTAAATAATTACCAATAAATTTCACACTAACTTTTTAGAAGTGTGACAATATTATGGATTAACCTTAAAATGAATTAAATTTATTAAACTCAATTTATGCAACATTTTTTCTTCTAAATTGTCTCTCTTTTTAACGTTGATGTCAGTGACATTTTACACTAGACTAGAAACAATTAACAGTGAATTGAAATTTTGTTTTTAGGGAAAGCGATCCAAACCCATGTGTTTTGGAATCAAACCCGTTTCTCTCGCACCGAAATCCGAGACTCTTAACAATCTGTCAATTCTGTTGATTGATTTATTAATATTAGTAACAATTATTGTAAGTAATTTAATCATAATTTTTTATGCTACGGTCTATTTTGACAGGGATATCTGCAATAAGCTGATGTGTCTAATGAAAGGAGATAAGGCCATTCCTAATGGAACGGCCAGCAACAAAGTATTAGACGCACCAGTGCATCTAGCTTCAATGGCTGCCAACCTTGAAACTGAAGTTGATGAGATCAAGAGCATCTGGGTTATGCAACGTGATGACGGTCTGGTTCGTAGACATGCTCTTGTTTTCTTTTTACTAAATTTTGCGTGGTACTTTGGTATTATACGGAGGCCACCCTTATACAGCGCGCTGTGGCGGTTATGTTAGGTTGGGTTATCATAAATGAAAAGAACATATTCTAATGGACTTAATTTCCATATTTGACATGATTACTATTATCGGCCTTTAAATTTGAGTTTGAGTCCTGCCTCCCAGAAGGCAGCGATGTCAGCGAAGCATACGATCACTAAACATGTATGCCTACAGTAAACATAATCTAGTTTAAATATTTTTCTCAGACTTTGGAAAGTATGGACAATCAAGCAAGATATACACTCATTTCAAGAATCTGGCAACCACAAGGTAAACTAGTTTATTAATAATTTGTTCTTGAAGCTGGAATAATACACAACTTATAGAATTTATTTCTTACAGAAAACCCAAGCCACTTGGACTAACTATTGTCTTTTAAGAGTCCTTGGAGCCTAGAAATTCTAACTCATAAAACAATTAACTTGCCTAAAGAACTTACAAAGAAAAATTCTTATCTCACTGTATACACAGAAAACATACTACTATAACCCAGAATGCCAACCGCATGGTAAAAACCATTAAGTGTTTTGAGAGAGCTTTGCCTGTCAATCCGTAGGCAGCGCCACCAGCTTTGCTATGCTGAGTGCATGGCAACGCTGGTGGCGCTGCCTACGGATTGACAGGCAAAGCTCTCTCAAAACACTTAATGGTTTTTACCATGCGGTTGGCATTCTGGGTTATAGTAGTATGTTTTCTGTGCTGTATACTAGAGTATTTAAAGTACAATCACTCTAGTGTTTGCAAAAATAATATTTTTGGATGGTAAATAACTTTTCAGCGACTGTTTTAAATTAATTAAATCAGCATTGCTCTTATGGCGGGCAAATCCAAGATGGCCGTTAGCTTCCATGTAGTCTTAAAGGCATAATTACCTTATAACAGAGCTGTAGAATGTTTTTTATTTAATTGCATTCATTTCAATGAAGCCTTTTGGAATGTCTTCTTTTTTTCAGAAAGTGGATGCTAAAAAATTGGAGAAAGCCGAAGCAAAACTACAACAAAAACAAGCTGCAAGGGCCGATTTGGTAAGTGAACTTTATCTTTGTGCCTTACGATTTTTTGCAAACTTTTTGGTTTCTCCAAATAGGAACAGGACTTTAATACTTTCTACTTAACATAAAATGTTTCTCGTATTTACGTCCAGTAGCTGTAAAAAAATTAGCTTATTTCTCTTGACATTTGCGCTATAAAATGGTTTGGCATAGCCAATTTTAAAAGTTATAAAATTGTTTAGTTGTTAAAATCCTAAACTTTCTTTCCAGTACTTATCATGAGTACTTCTATCTAATACTTAAACAGAACTTGACTACCACGTCTAATAGACCACTCAAAAAGGTGTTTAGCCTAACCAATAAAAACTTGTCGCTCCATTCATCTTGTCTATTTCTATGATCTTCTGATTTCTTTTATTACTTTCCGATAAGAATGTCCCAAAACCTTCATGAGGTTTCCTCATAATTTTTTTAAGCTAACCGTGTCCTTTTCTATTCTTACCAAATGGCCTTCCCCTCAGAGTTTCTTAGCAATTTATTCATATCATTTGCCTCTTGAATTGTTTTTTTTTCTATTCTTATGTTTGAAAATCAATATAATGTATAGGTTACTTTTGTTACCTTTGTGGAAGACAGAATATTTGTCAACGAAGCTACCTAAACCTTGAAACTATAGTTGTCAGAAGAACTGTAGGCCTAAAGATTGACAACGTTAAAAGGTAGCATTTCACCAATTCATTTTGTATCTATACTTACAATCTGTTTTTATTTTGCTACTTTTCTAAGTCTTTATCTAAATTGTGTCCTATTAAAAATTGCCCAACTACAATCCGTCAGCATCCATATGATGTGTTTCTTGAAGTTTTTTTTTGTTGTCCAGGTACATAACAGACCACCCCCGGCTCCTGTACAGCTACAAACAGCGACGGCTTCTCAAGTAACCAGCAAGAAAGAGGCGAAACTAGAGGCTAAGGGGAACAACCGTGCGCAGGACATTCGTATAGAGAACTTTGACATTGCCTATGGTGACAGGTTAGTTGATACTTAAGGCTACTGTAATGCAAATTTAGTTTTCATAGCTGTACAACTGGCATTGGTCTAGTTCCAAGTAAGGAAACCCATTGTGATTGGTTTTTAAGCTCACCCTTTTGATTTCCTGTCAGAATATTGCAAGATTTCTCAAACGCTTGTTATTTCGTTATTTGGTTAAACTAGTTTAAACCTAGATAATCCAGGGATTCATACATACACAAAGAGAATGACTATTGTATCTCGACTTGGTGGCCTAGTATATTTTGTATTGATGAATGCACACATTGGAAAACACTTATTGAATAACTAGAGATATGACAATAAAACTGATTTTTCCTTCTAGTGTAGGGCTTCTTCAGAGAGAATACTGTACAAACGAAAAACCCTGTTTCTTGTACCACGGTAGACTTTTTCCCATTTACGTAAACATGATGTCCTAAAAAAATATAAATATATTAGGGCCTAATTAGTATTTAATAAATGAAATTGTTTACAGAGTTTTATTACAAGGAGCAGACGTTGTGTTGGCGTTTGGACGAAGGTACGGACTATGCGGGAGGAACGGTCTAGGGAAAACGACGCTACTTAGGATGCTTTCAAGGTAAATTAGACACAATTTTGCTTTTTCATGTACCTTGCATGCAATGTGTTTATTTTAGATTATCTCTTTTTCTAACTAATAATATTACTTTGTAAATTGTTTCTGTGATTATAGTTAGCTCAAACTGGTTATTTTTAGCAGTAGTGGAAAAGTGTTTTAAAATAAACTTTTTTGTGGGTTAGTCGCAGTTAGGCCTATTATCATTGCGATCAAAATGAGACGTCACCTAGATATGTATTTTAACCAAAATATGAGCGAAGGATGAGTGTGGTATAAAGTGAAATGATCTGTGTAGCTTTGTTACTGACTAAGATCAGCTGTTTCATTAGCCAGGGTCATTCATTGCAAGCCCAATGATCAAGTACAGCTGGGTCCAGTTTTGAACCATCTAAAAGATAAACACTTTTCTCAGGATTAAACTACTGGTGACCTAAATACCAGCAATATGTTTTGAATGTTTTTAAAACAAATATATACTTATTTCATTTGCCATTGTAGTTTTTTTATTATAAGTGAAATTCTTGATTCTTCTACTAATTTTTGTAAGTTTGATATTGTTTACTGTTAAAAAGAATCCTAAGACAAATTTTGAAAAGAATTTACTGACTTGAGATATTCCTCATTTTGAGCTATATGCATACAAGTTTTTTAATGTGGTTGGTTCTCAAAATAGAATCCCAACTATGACAGATTATTTGGCATTTAATAAATGGTCCTGGCTTAAGAACCAACTTACTATAGTTAGTATTCAGTAACAATGCTTTTATTTTATCCTTCAACCGTCTTCACCTTAAAAAAGGGACTGTGGTGTGTTGGCGGATATAAATCTATCTCTTCTACGCTATTTTGCGTAAAACCAACATAGTTATTTGGTTCATTATATATTAAACTTAAACACTTCCATTACTTGTGACACCTAAATGTACTTGCTTGTCCAGTGGTCAGTTACGGATACCCGCTCACATATCCGTGCTGCACGTGGAGCAAGAGGTGGTGGGTGACGACACTCCGGCACTGGAGTCCGTCCTGCAGTGCGACTTTGCTAGGGAGCGGCTGCTGCAGCGCGAGAAGGAGATCACAGCGGAAATAAACGCAGGGTAAGTAAACTAACTTTGACCTCCAGAACCTGTACAGTTTTTGTGGTGTTGACTGAATCGTCAGATGAGATTAACTGTCAGATGTTTCACCTTTGTTGTAAAATTAGGCTGTGTACTGGTAAGAAATAAAGTAGGCTATTAAAGTCAAGTAAACTTCCAACGTGAGCTTCAATTTATATTTTAGGTAACAGAATCATTACAATTCTTGTGACGTTTCTTGGATTGTCAGATCAAATAAAGAAATTATTTTTACAAAACTAGTATAAACATCTTGTAGGCCAACAGTTTACTTCACTAAAGCCGGGTTTTCCTAGGCGCGGAGTCGGCGAGCGGAGAGAGGAACGCGGAGAGCGGACTCCACTTGTCTTAGGCAATTTAATGTTACTGTTTTCCTAGAAGCGGAGCGGAATGCCATGTTAATTTCAATTCCGCTCTCCGCATTCCTCTCTCCGCTCGCCGACTACGCGCCTAGGAAAACCCAGCTTAAGTTGTGAAAGTCATAAGGCCCAAGAGACTATTATAAATAAATCATTTTTAATTTCCAGATTTTGAATAATTAACACAGTTGAAAATAATCAACCAAGAAGTCACAGCTGGAAGTAAAATGATAAAAGTATAACAAAATAGCTTTAAACTTAAATGGTAGAAATGGGAATACTGCTAAATAGAGTGAATACTGAATTACATGGATTTATTTATTTATTTATTTTATATACTAACGGAACATCTCCAATTTTATAGACTGGACATAACAATATTTCTCTTAAGTGACTGTAGAATTTAAATACATTTTTGTAAACATTTCAACCCAGCAATACATATGTAACAATAACAATAAATATGTATAAATATAAGTATAACAACAATAAATATATAGTAGTTAACAACAACAATATAAATATATGAAAAAGTAAAGCAAATCTGAACATTTAATGGATGCCTGCAACAAATAACAAGTTTTTTACAGAGAAAAAAGGAAAACAGTCAATATATATTCAATTAAATAACAAACAGATTAACAAGTGATAGAATATATTGGATTAGTTATATATTGACCTTTTTAGCAAATTTTCCATAGGGAATAAGCTATTACCGTAGGTCTCATTGTAAGACCTAGACCGAGGACCGATTTTTGTTTGTTTTTATTTCCTCAGAGGCCAAAAACACCATCTGTTTCAATTCATATAAAAATATCTGTATAGGCATAAATGTGTCTGTTAGCACAATAACTAGAGTAACACATTTGAATTCAATTATCAAACTCGGTCATCAAATCAGTTTGAGTCTCTATTTCTGTTTGCAAAAAATCTATATTTTCCCTGGTCTTTACCCTGAATGCTGAATACTGAATTGCGTAGATTAGTTTAGTAATTTGACATGTGATGACTGTATGTAGGAACACGGATCCAACACTACCCTCGGAGCTGACGGAAGTGTACACTCAGCTGACGTCCATGGAAGCAGACAAGGCTCCGGCGAGAGCATCCGTCATCTTGGCAGGTCTCGGGTTCAGTGCGGAAATGCAGCTCAAGAAAACCAAGGAGTTCAGTGGAGGTTGGCGTATGCGTCTGGCACTCGCTCGGGCTCTCTTCTCTAGGTATAAACCTGCTCTTACAATAATACATCTCCTTGTTTAAGTTTTCGCCAGTTTTACATAGTTGAAGTTAGCCACCAACAGATTGTGCTGATGTAAATTACTGATTTTCTGTCGAATACACAGACTTTTAGGCAAGTAAACCTGATAGGGTGACATATTGTAAGCTGTAGCTTCATTGATGTCACGTAAACTATCTCAGTTACAACAAATAAGTTAGAAAGTACTGTATAATTAAACACAAGAGCAATATGTGCCTGCCTGACTCAACTGTGTTCTTCTTTAATAAAAAATGGTGACAGCTGGAATCCGTTCATAAAGATGGGATATATTCTTCAGCATGCAAAAGAGTCAATGCTGAAACCTAACAATATTACTACAAAAGCCAACAAAAGCTGAAGAAGTGAAGAATTATTAAAGAAAAACCACACAGCTTGTAGCCTATAGTATGTACAGTTAGTCAAAACTGTAAATTTTTCAATGTTGTTTGTATATGTAATCCTATTTCTAGAGTTTTGAACATTGCAATTGCTATGTCAGTGGAATACCACATGTGTGGTAACTTAACACCAAGAGATAATTTCTTAAATTTCTTCTTCAGGCCAGACCTGCTACTTCTGGACGAGCCGACCAACATGTTGGACATCAAGGCCATCATCTGGTTGGAGAACTACCTCCAGAACTGGCCTACCACTCTGCTGGTAGTCTCTCACGACAGGCACTTCCTGGATACCGTCCCCACGGATATCCTACATCTACATTCTCAGGTAGCCTTTGATTACTGCAATACATCTCACGTTAGGGGTGTTTGGTCAAAAAATTAATTATCAAAATTAGATTTTCATTAGATTAAAGGAATTGAATTAGAAATTGAAATTTTTTGAGCAAAAAAATTATTTTTGACTTGCGGGGCTTGAAAATGGTCATTTTGTCAAATTCTGGTACAAACAATCTGTGAGTACCTAATAAATATGCTTAGGAAGATTCTTGAAATAAATTTCATCCTGGAATTCAAAAAATGGCGATTAACTTGTCACTTCAAAATAGAATTAAGAATACTAAGACACAATTTTAATCCATTTAAAGTAAGTCATTGTGATGTACTTAAACACTATTTACTTGCTGCAACTGTTTCAAAGTTACTTTATTTACTTTGATATGTAAGATTTGTACATTTATCTTTGGAAATCATCTTCTGCAGTCAATAGGCAGTCTACACTATACCCCACTAATCACCGGGCTAAATGTGGCGGCATATGTGGCGAATTTGGGGAACTAACTAAGCCCATCGTCAGAGTACCCTCGCGCCCATACAGCCAGTTTTTTTGTAATATTAATGAAACTAGTTTATTGAACAGGTGTGCAGGTGAACAGGGTGTGTCAATGTCAGTTATTAATTTCTTGCAAATGCAGAATTTTTAATCAAGCCAAACTAAAAGTACAATTATTGTAAACTATAGCTTATAGTTAAAGTCACACTAACTACCATAGGGGAATATAACACTGAGGGAGAAATGATAACCATGTATGGTGTTATTTTTTTACCAAATTAAATTAAGTATCATATAACACAGACGCTTTTAGGGAAGGACTGCTTTCCACAGTTCAAAAACCGTTCTTCAACACAGATCTCATAGTTGGATGAACAACATGAACGGTTTTCTGTATTGACCTGGCCTTACGTAATTTCAGAGGATAGATCCGTACAGAGGTAACTATGATGTTTTTGAGAAGACGAAAACGGAAAAGCACCGCAATCAACAGCGAGAGTTTGAGGCTCAACAGCAACACAGGGCTCACGTACAGGAGTTCATCGACAGATTCCGATACAACGCAAACCGAGCGTCAAGCGTACAGAGCAAGATCAAGATGCTGGAAAAGCTGTGAGTATTTGATGGCCTAACAGCTGTGACAGTGTGCTTCAGTGATCAGATAGGTCAGGTTACCTAATCTTTTAATATATAACCAAACTAAACTCTATCTAATTTGTAACCTAACAAAACTAACCTAGTATAACTTAACCTAATTTAATGTACCCTTATGTGTTCAAACCTAATGTACCATAACTTAATTCAGCTGGGTGTAAACAAAAGTTATCTTTTGGTTCTAACTTAACGTAACCCGATCTTCAGTAAGGAATTTGTAGATGAACATTTCACGGTAAAAACGTGATGGTGAATAAACGTAAAAGGTTCAAAAAATGTTTTCCCTAATAAAATCATGTCTCTCCCCAGGCCCGAATTGAAGCCCATAGAGAAGGAAGTGGACGTCACGTTAAAGTTTCCCGAGGTTGAGTCGTTGTCGCCTCCGATCCTGCAGCTCAACGAGGTTAGCTTCTCCTACGTCCAGGGTCGACCAATCCTGGCCAATGTTAACTTAGGAGCCACGTTAGAGTCTAGGATATGTATTGTAAGTAACCCTTCATTTACACATTTTGTAATATATTTAGCCAGTGAAGTTGAATACCTTGCATTTTGTATTTTAACCAAAAAAGCGAAGGGTGAGTATAGAATGATGACTCTGTAGGCGGTAATACAGTCTACCCAAACATGATTTGCGGAAGAAAACTGTATTCATTTCCCTATGTTTGTAGAAAGTACCCAAAGAACATGTTTTATGACGACTGTTTTTCATGACCAACTGTTTATTTCAAATTCTATTCCCATTATTAATAGTTTTGCGATGTGTATGTTTATTGTTTTCTAAGTTTGTTTACAATTTTAATTTAATACAGTTAAATCTAGCTTTGATACTATCCTTTTGTGATATTATTTTAAGAAGTCTGAAAAACTTAAATAAGATCACTCTTGGATAGAGACCTGACTGAACTTCAAAATTATAAAAATGTTGTCTCTTATCCAACTACTTAATTAGATAAGACTATTTATTAGGGTGATTTCTATTGTTGACAAAATCAATCACATTGTTTAAAGACGGAATAAATAACTTGTATTCATTGTTCATTGGTCCATGAACATGTAAATAAAGTGCATTATTTAGGTTGGAGACAACGGTGCTGGTAAGACAACCCTGCTCAAGATCATCATGGGTATCCTCAGTCCTACGAGTGGGAGTAGACATGTTCACCGTAACCTCAAGTTCGGCTACTTCAGCCAACACCACGTAGACCAGCTGGAGATGAATACGACGTCCGTGGAACTACTTCAGACAAGCTTTCCTGGTGAGTAGTGATGTGCTTATTCTACTAATCATAACCAATGACTAATCATAACCATCGACCAATCATAACCATCGACCGATCATAAGCATCGACCGATCATAAGCATCGACCAATCATAACCATTAACCAATCATAAGCATCGACCAATCATAAGCATCGACCAATCATAACCATCGACCAATCATAAGCATCGACCAATCATAACCATTGACCAATCATAACCATCGACCAATCATAACCATTAACCAATCATAAGCATCGACCAATCATAACCATCGACCAATCATAACCATCGACCAATCATAACTATTAACCAATCATAAGCATCGACCAATCATAACCATTGACCAATCATAAGCATCGACCAATCATAACCATCGACCAATCATAACCATTAACCAATCATAAGCATCGACCAATCATAAGCATCGACCAATCATAACCATCGACCAATCATAAGCATCGACCAATCATAACCATCGACCAATCATAAGCATCGACCAATCATAAGCATCGACCAATCACAACCATCGACCAATCATAACCATCGACCAATCATAACCATCGACCAATCATAACCATCGACCAATCATAACCATCGACCAATCATAACTATTAACCAATCATAAGCATCGACCAATCATAACCATCGACCAATCATAACCATCGACCAATCATAACCATTGACCAATCATAAGCATCGACCAATCATAACCATTAACCAATCATAACCATCGACCAATCATAAGCATCGACCAATCATAACCATCGACCAATCAAAACTGGCTCATTAGACTTAAAAAAAATATCAGCTGACTAATTTATGTTTCTACTTCTCTTTGAGTTTATCACACAACTTTTGCACAATGGCTTTGAATTGTAAAAGTTTGTTGACTATTTATCGTTCATTGATAACCAGGAATTGTGCTTAACATTTGTAACAAATATTAATTGCTTTTTTTACACATCTAGTATCTTAATGTATTTTTGTCAAACAGAAAGTAATTTAGATATAAAGTGTTTCATTTCTGATCTAATAGTTTATTTTATTTTTCATTGTGAAATCAATCAATAATATATTAACAAACTAAAACCACCTACCTTTTCAACCAAAAATTTAAGATTTAGGTAAATCCTGAGGAATTTTAGTTTCTAATCAGTTCTATGTAAAAATTCATGTGTCAACAAATATAGCCTGCTAATTAATTGGTTAGAATGATTTAAGGATCTAACCTTGAACTCCACATGCTGAACCATTGACTAATTAATCCAAGAAATTAGAACAATTAGGATGATGGGTTAAACACTTTTGCTTTTAAATATGCCCAAGAAAAACTGTGGCTAATTATTCAATTATTTGTATCAACTAATGGACAGACAGCAGACATCACTATCTAGTATGAGGTCCATTTAATTGTTTAAACCACGGAAAAGCGAGTAATATATTAAATTAGGCCAGTATATGATAAAATATACCTTTCTTGCTTGGAGTTTAATTTACTGAAAGACTATTCACATTTCCTGCATTACAGCAAACTCCAAGTTTCCTGGCTGCATTCCCATTGGAATCCCTTTGAATTTTCAGGTAAAAAAGTATTTTTGGGTCAATCAACTTAATGTAAACCAAACATTTTCAAATTCCAACCGAATTTAACCAAATTTAGAAATGTTAAATGTTGGATTTATATTTTACCCTCCCGGCTCCTAGGCACTATGTATAACTTTTAGTTTCTTTTTATAACCATAATTAGGTACAAGGAAAAGAAACTGTCATATTAATGTACTTTTGATATCCAATTTCTACATGAACCATTTTCCTTTTACTATTGTCCCTCCTGGTCTATTTAGAACATATTGTCACCCTTTCTACTTGAACAATCAATTATATGAACTTAAGCTGGTTGGTTAATCCTTTTTCTCATTACTCAGATTTACACTCAAGTCGGACAATAGATCCGAGGTTGGTGATACAACTCTTTTATTAATTCCTATTCCTACCTTCCGTAGCCCTATCCTAACCTATAAATTGTAAACTGTTCCAGTAGACTCAGTGCCAACTGAGTTTTCTGGCTCTGTAAATTACAAATTTACATCTAATCAGCTGTTTTACCCCCCAGGCAAGTCAGTAGAGGAGTACAGACGACAGTTGGGTTCCTTCGGCATCTCGGGCGATCTTGCACTACAAACAGTAGCCAGTCTATCGGGAGGACAGAAGTCTCGGGTGGCGTTCGCCAGGATGTGCATGGCCGTACCTAACTTCCTAGTGCTAGATGAGCCTACCAACCATCTCGACATTGAGACAATTGAGGCACTCGGCAAAGCCATCAACAAGTATACGGTAAGAACTCTTGATGTTTAAAAAATCAATATATTTAGGATTGATTGAAAATATAGACTTATATTCTGTTTGATAAGTTATAAAAACTATACTTCTACTGGTGATTTGAGAATTAACTTTGAGATTATAAATCGAGTTTGAGATTGAAAATTCTTGGAGTTTACTATAGCTAAGTTCATTACGCTTTCAGTCATCCCATGCGTTTACATTGGTAAGGTATTATTAAGTAGAAACGTTATTGCAAGGATAAAGGATGTTCTTTGTGTCGCAGGGAGGAGTGATCCTCGTATCTCACGACGAGAGGTTGATTCGCATGGTGTGTCGAGAATTGTGGGTTTGCGGGCAAGGCTCTGTACGCAGCGTGGAGGGAGGCTTCGACGAGTACCGCAAGATCGTAGAGAGAGAGCTGGCGGAAGCGGCGAAATGAACTCCCAGGGTACCCGGTGAATTTTTGGTGAGTGAAATTGACGCTAGTAATGTTACGTAAAGTGCAATAAAACCTCTGATTGTCAACCTCGAAAACGAGACTACGATGGTTAACTGATAGATGGATAACAGATATTCCTCTAAGTTTGATTCTGGAAAGAAATAACACTATTCATGTGAATTACATTCAAAATATTTTTTTACAATAATTCCTATATGTATATGTTTTAAAGATGTGCGTGAAATTTATAACTGTCTTATGGGACAGGTATCGTTCTGTAACAGTTCCGTGCTGTATTCCATACAATATAGTATAACTTTCTAAACAATAGTATTTTTTATTCCTTTTTGAAATTGCATAGCCTATGCTAACTGTGACAAAATGTGGTGGAATGTTATGGAAATTAACAGGCAGTTCCTGGGTTGAAAAGAGACCATTTCTTAGCTTTCTGCACAGCTAGAAAAACAGCTGATTCAATTGTACATTTGAAACAACAGCTGACAAACTGTAATTTTTTGTTCTTCATTGTTGCAGAAGGCTGTGATGGGAGGTACAAGGTGGTCGTCCATCTTGGTGATATTACACTGCAATGGAAAGTTTTCTATAACTTATTGTTTTAATTAGCTATCTAAGATTATAACAATTTGTATTTGTATCAATAAATCCATGTACAGAACCCGTAGTTGTGTGAATTTGTGAGAAATACCTAAATAAAATCATAAGTGTGATAATCCAGGTGTTTGGAAATAAAAAATGTCTTTTATGTGATCAGCGAAATCAGAGTAACTGTTAGTATATTCTATTACATTCAAACAATTGAATTTAAAGATTGGATCATGTTGTATGTATTCATGATTAACCGTCCAATAAATAATTCAGTTAATTATTCAATTTAATTAAAATTATGCCACCATATTACGGGAAGCATAAACCTTGAAAGATCTAGATCCAACCCCACTGTATATTTTTTGCAAATACATTTCGTATTTGCATTCATAATATATTTGCGTGTGTCTATAAGAACAATCACTCTAAAAACTCTTTGATGTTAATTATATTTGCTTGCATCAATAATTTGTAAACCAAAATTTCTTTGTATGAACAATCCTGAGGGGACTGAATGACAAGGGGAAGGGTTTTGCCCATTTTTGCATCCATATTTTATCCTTATTAACTATAAATGAATTTCTCTATTGTAAATAAGAATGCATAGGTATTCATTGTTATGGAATTTTATTTTTTAGTTTACATCTTACATAATATCTACAGCATGAATGGTAATGATTTTTTGTTTTCTTCCGGTTACATCTAAGTAAGCGTGTTTGAATCCTGTGCGTAACCACATTTCCATCCGGCATCCTGGTGGATACAGGCGTAACCATGACGGGTCACCAGTACACTGTAACCGTTTTGCAATTAGAGTTTATCAACTAACAAATCTAACTTGAAATTTATAACCTAATCCGTTTTGAAACATCAATCGGACATAGCTTAGTGGTAGCTTCTTGGATTGGAAGCCCATATGGCTTTGGTTTGATACCAGCTGTCTGAATATTATTATGGTTACCAATAATAGCTTTTCCCTATGATACTAGTGAATACTACCACTTTCCGCAGTACTAACCTGATAATTAGACTAATTCTTTAATTACAAGGAAAAAATGTGGTTCGGATTCCACTATAAACTGTAGGTCCCTTAGTTGCCATTGGCTGTATGGGCTATTAATTAACAGCTGTGTCTAAGAAATATGTCGGCCTTAGTCACTAACAAGACTACAAGATCGCACCACTCATCCTACGCTCATCTCCATTCATACTTGGGTTAAAATACCTACATTCGTATGGTCACCATTTCAAAATAAAGTATTAAAGTATTTACAAAAAAACAACAAGAACTTAACTGTCTTTGAATTATTGCAAATACCAGTAGGTCCATGGCGACAAGCATTTAAGTTTTTTTTTCAATTGTACCAAATTAAGCCTAGCTTGCCTAGAGTGAAACCAACAAGTTTATTTATTAAAAATACTGCTTGAGTAAAGAAATATTTCTTTTTTCATTTAGAATTTTTTCCTCAACCGTACAAGTTGGGAAACAAATTTATTTATCGGTAAAAAAGCAGCCTTGCAAGTTTTTTTTTAGAAAGCTTTTCAACAATTAGTTTAAAAAAACCGAATTACCCACATAGATCAAACAATAGTTTTAGTCACAGTTTGTCTTAAACTGTAGAAAATGTGTTAATCAAATCTTAACGTTTTTATTTTTTTTAGTAGTCATGTTTACAAGTATAATTGTAAGCATAAAATGAAAGGTTGGTAAAAAATAAGGAAAAACAACAGTAAATATTTCTCACATACTTTGCACCTGTCGTTTAGAGATTTTCGCTATCAGGAAAGAATATTCGTAAAATATAATGCAAAATAATGAATAGAATAGGTAACTTTTAGGGATGCTAAACAATTCAAATATTTAAAACTTACTGGTTGATTGTGTGCCAAACAGCTTCGTTGGGCTTGCGAAGCCGTAAGTGTCAGCAACAGCAGAAGTACAACCACGGAACTTCTCATGATGAATAACAACTTGACTCAATGCTAATAACTTTTAGTCATTGGAGGATTAACACGTTATTACTAGAAACTCAAGTACCACTCAGGCTTGGATTAAAATGTGTACACATTAATAAGTGTTGGTGGAAATTTTGATGATTAATCGATATTGTAATTTCAACCAAAATTATGGAGAAAACGGTACTTGGGAATTCGCTCCCACTATTCAAATTCAAATTATCTTTATTTATATTATGTACAAAACGTACAATAAATAGTGTCAAGCTTATAATTACTATGTACAAATACTTAACCTAAACAAAAAATACAGAAAATAAAACTATCTATAGCTGTATACATTCATAAAAAGTACATCTATTGAGTAAATGGGTTTTTCTATCAAAAATTCTTTAAGTTTTTGTCTAAACTTTTTTTTATCCTTAATGTCTTTTATTTCATTTGGTATTAACTTTAAAAACTGTACACCGGCATATGAGGGCTTATTTTTATACATTTCTAAGTTGGGTTTCGGTAGAACTATATTATTTTTGTTTCTTGTGTTGTATTGATGGGTTTCACAATGCGTTTTAAATTTTTCCTGGTTATTTTTTACATGTACGATACATTCCAGTACGTACAAACTAAACACAGTTAATAGTTTCAAATTGACAAAATGTTGCTTTACAGACTCGTTATAATCTAGATTTAACATTATTCTTATTGCCTTTTTCTGTAAAACAAGTATCTTATCTAAATAATAATATAAGAAATTATCTGAAATTATTAATAAAGAAATAATCTATAAGAAATTAAAACCTGACAATCGGAAGAAAAACATTTTTTCAGTTCGTTAGTGAGGCCTACCTAAGCAAAAACAGACACAACCAACAATTAATATTAAAAAGAGTTATAGAACTACAGAACATATGTTTTGAGGTGGATTTCATACCTCATAGTATAGGAAAATTACACATAAAACTAAATTTAAGGATTTGAAGAACAACCAAGTAGGAGAAATTAATTTAAATTCATAAATTAAGAAATAATGATCTGACAAAGTGGATGAACGCCAAAAGAAACCAACTCTATTGGTCCAACGAAGATAGGAAATAACGACTAAGTTTTAACACTCATTTTAGTGTAAAATGTAAAAATAATATGGTGATCAAAGTTAAAGTTTAAAAAAAGTTTCATGGGACTAAAAAAACAACAGGCTGTAATTTTTTTTCTTTCTTTTTATTCAGCTGATTTGATTTATTCACTAGAGAAGGTATTAGCTTTGACTATTGGATACAGAAGGTATTAGTATTGATTTTTGGCTTTGACTATTAATATAACCATAGACTAACCAATACAATTAGATTTCTCATCCCATTGTACATTTTGAAGCACGTTTTTCGTGTCTAGTTCATGTTTGGTGACACTTGGCGTTAGTGTAAACGAAATGTTATCCTATTATTTTAGGGTTAATTTCTTGATTTGTGCTTTACTGTTTGGTTATATAACTAGGGCACAAGTTATTGTTTATGATTATATCGTATTATTTGGCTAAACAAGGTTTTAAATTACTGTAATAACGGGAAACAAATTTTAAACAAAACTACCTCTACATAAACCGCACAGAACTAACAATAAAATTGTCTTCAGCTGTTCCATAAGGATGAGAAATCTACTAAGGGAGTACGTTATATCTATGTTATAACTAAAGTTGGGACCACGAGAGTCTGCAGTTGACGGCAACCAATCACAAGACAAGGCTAGTGCGACGTTGCCATATCGCTTGCAGACGACACTAATTAAAATACTAAACAATATTTTCAAAGTAGTTGGTATTATTAGATTTGGCAACACTGCACTGTCATCATTGGCTCCTTCAAAGTCATGTGGTAAATAGGCTCCTCCATCAACTGCACTCTCGTGGTCTCGACTGTAGACATTCCATCCCCATGTTAAAGTTGTCAACAGTGGCCAATGACAATGATAGTGTGATAAATCCACAAGGTGACCTGTGAATGCCATAATTGTACATGTGTTTTACCCATAACTTCTACTATAAATAAGTAAAAGTTGTCAAGTGAAAGGATAAAAATCACACAATCGTCAGTATGGTATTAGTTTATTCAGTATTATGTGTACTAACAAATCAGGTATACATGGAATAAAATGTAGAAATCACTGAAATCGAGTAACAATACAATACCAGCTTGAATGTAAAAGTGTCGTCCAATTAAAGGAACGAAATCTAAGCATAAATCAAAAGCTGAGCCCATTACCACAGTATTCTGAAAAAAAATCAATACTGTCATCAGCTTAACTCTTACCACTATAAAATACTGATTACTCGCAATAGCTCCAAGGTGTAAGGCCCCAAGATTGAAACAATCGAGGTTATCGACAAGTTACATTTTCCAAATAAAAGAATAAATATTTTTACTTCATAACAAAATGATTCAACGTAACAAAAGCGATTCAGTCTTATTTTTTGTAATTTCCGCGATCTTACTGCAATTACGGTTGAGTCAGCCGTAGTGGTAGACATCGACTTGAACAGCTACGAGAAGCTCTCGGACAACGATTAACGAGAGACAGGGTGGAAGGTCAGCTCGGCTTGTTGGATGACGAAAAGTAAGTTGAGTTGAGAGTCGAGACCGATGTTCTCTACTCTGAGGAGGTCTGCGCGAGACTGGCGTGGCCTGCGCGCCACCACTGCCGTGCCAGACACTCGCATGGTGTGGGAATCGCATGTGGTTGGCACGCCGGCGCGCGTCGTATCCATCTTGACGTGGCAGGTCACATCGACGTGGACATACTTCACGATGGTCGTGCCGTCTTTTTGGCGGATCTGAAATTGTTTGTGAGTTACAAAAGGTGTCCTGACTTTAATATTACCAAATTAATGTGAAATGCTGATTTTATATTGTATCATGGTCCAGTAAGTGAATAACTTTTATATTAAAAAAAAAACTTTTAAAAATGCCATTACAATAAAACAGTATGGAAAACAAAACTAGTGTGAAATAATAAGATAACAAGAAGGAGATAATTACAAAGTCAATACCAAATAAGTTTAATGTTTATGCAATTTAATGATTCTTTATTAAACTCTCTTTCCAATTCAGTTAATCCTGCTATATCAACAACAATACTTAAAACCTAATTAAATTATAACATTATCAAAACTTTTATCAGATGACTAAAGGACACTCACCACTTCTTGTTTCTCCTCATACTGAGCGGCGTCAGCTCTAAACACGTGAGCTTCTCCGAGGTACAGACCTCCGGCCAAGATGTGGAACCTCTGGCCTACGTGGACCGCTCGGATCTCAAAGCCTAAACCATCTGGGTGAGTGTCACTCCAGAAGTAGTTCTCGGGTTCGTTGAGAACGTCGGGAGCGAAAGTGATGCGTTTTCCGTAACCTGCCCCAACACTGACAAGCCTCAGCGCTCTGCCTTGGAAGAAGTGTTTGCGAGGAGGTCCTGCCATGCGGACGCGGTACTCGAAACCAGGCATGATCCTGGGGTCGATGTATGTTCCTGTTGAGAGAGAAAGTTATTAGTGTTAAAATGTATATGGGAAGTAAATTGAGAAAATGTTGTTAATTTAAATGCTATGACATGAAATAGATTATCAAGGAAACCACAATAATGTACCGGTAATGCCTATTTTTATAGGGAAACTAGCTGACCCGGCGAACTTCGTATCGCCTAAGTTATAGGTTTCCCCTAAGACAGACCGATGGAAAGAAAGTACCGTTACGTTTAATTTTCAAGATGATCTCGTTCGCATCGCTCAATCACGTCCTGGTTGAAGTTCGTTCGCTACGCTCACTCACCTTTGGGTTGGAGCTCGTTCGCTACGCTCACTCACCTTTAGGTTGGAGCTCGTTCACTGCGCTCACTTGCCTTCAGGTTAGCTCGTTCGCTACGCTCACTCGCCTCTCTCGTTCGCATCGCTCAATCACGTCCTGGTTGAAGTTCGTTCGCTACGCTCACTCACCTTTGGGTTGGAGCTCGTTCGCTACGCTCACTCACCTTAAGTTGGAGCTCGTTCGCTGCGCTCACTTGCCTTCAGGTTAGCTCGTTCGCTACGCTCACTCGCCTCCAGGTTGAAGTTCGTTCGCTACGCTCACTCACCTTTTGGTTGCAAATTAGCTGTTGTCATAAATGTAAAAGAAATAATAGTGCTGCACCCTGTTGGTAATCCTTGTAACTTTAATGCTATTGAACATCATAGAACAGAACCAACTTGTTTAATTGAAACAGCTGTTAAGATTCATTAATTCCATTTCTCATAAGGTTAACATGGGAAACTCCAGAGCCACTGGGGCGGAGCCCTTTTAAGAATTTCGAAACGGGAAATAGTTTACTTCCGATTCGCATACCTACAGAATTTACACACCAAATTTCATAACGATCGGTGAAGTCGTTCCGGAGGAGTTTGCAGACAAACACTGTGACACGAGAATTTTATATATTAGATAGAGGGAATTTAACAACTTGACTTCATTAAACAGAGCTATAGGTACATTTTTCAGCTGTACTAATATCACTTTTGAGAAAAGTTACTCCAACGTCCTTTCAATACAAAATACTTGTAAATGGTAATCTGTAGGCTATGTTTTTTTTTCAGAAAGTCAATTTGACACCGTCTTGGGTCAAATTTAATTTAATTTTTAATATATCAGTTTGAATATATTTGCTTACTACAGTAATTAATTTCCAAATGATACAGAAATTGTGCATTTCAAAGCCAAGGGATATTATTTAGTCAGACCACTTCAAAATATCCACTTAGTAGTTTCAAAACTGTAATGGTCCATGTACATCAATGGAATCGTTATACTATCCAGGACTATTGATAAGACTGATTAAGTCAACTCACCAATGACGGGCATCTCGTAGGGTTGAAGTCCGAAGACAGTGTATCTCGTAGGAACGTCTCCGATACTGACTCCGTGAACAACAGTGGATCTCTCCTTGTTGTTGATTCCGGGTGTCAGGGTGAAACCCTTCCTTGGGTGGGACCCGATCATCACCCGGGAGACACCCGTCACCCGAGCAACTCCTCCCTTCTTGTCCCGAATAGCTGTGGCAGTTCCGCTCATCTGTAGAATAGATTATAACTTAAGTAAATTTGTAAACGATGCGAAATACACAATGATTTCAAGTTTGTACTTCTGGATGATTGATTTTTTTGGACGTTGTAACAAATAATGAAGTTTAAAATAATAAGTGGACATCGGCAATTAGAACCAGTAATATAATTTTGTACAAATAATTTGAGTTTATAATATTAATATACAAGGTTTAACTAAAAAATACTTATTGATGATGATTTAGTATAGTTTTGTCTTTAAAAAAGAAATCTGATAAAAGACAATTAATTTTGTTAAAAGGAAGCTCAATTTGCCAGTGAAGCAAAGTAGCTTTATTTGCACAACGAAAATAAACATGCACTAAAACTAACAAGCTAAAGTATACAAATTTGTCTTTTGATGACTATTATGTCTAAAATGACTACTCTGCTTTCAAGAACAACATATTGTAAAGGAAACTTACAGAAAAAAAAACAATTGCTCCTCTTTTAAGAACAATAAACTGTAAAATAAACTTACCGGAACCACAACAGCTCCGCAGTCTTCAAACCACTCCACCTTGACCAACAGACGAACCCTCACCATCTTCTGGATGGTTCCGTCTTTGAGAACCTTGTGGTCCAATTCTTCTTGGGAGGCCTGCAACAATCAAGTTCTTGTAGAAATTCCATTATGGGAAAAAATTTAATCCTCCAAACTGAAATGGCCCTTTTGTAATTCTTGTTTTACAAACTGTCTGGACTTTTAATTCCTTTTGCTACTTATGCTTACTAAGAGACACAAAATGTTTATATTTACAGTGTTTTATTTTATGCTAATGTCCAAAAGAGAGTAACAAACTTGGAATAAATCGTCATATTCCTCATCTTTATAAACTTTGGAGAAGTTTATGCAATCAACAAAAATGTACTCATAGGTACTGTGGCTGCATTTTGCAATTTCAAGGTGTCTGATAGTTAAATGTAAATTAATAGAATAATACCAACATTTGTTAAAGAATATACCTCTTATTTTTTACTAAGATGGCTATAGTACGGTATCCTACTAATATTATATATATTTATACAAATATTTTTTGTTATTATTACTTTACCAAGAACATTGCCATATGCAATGCAATGTTACCATATGTTTGAAAACAAAACCAACGAGAATTTGAAATACATCCATTTTGGGTTTACTTCAACGAAGTTATTTCCTACAACTATCTTAACTATTTATCAAATAACGACAAAGTATATCCAATTACCTTGGCGTCCACCACTTCCAAGATGGCGACGGCGACGTTGTTCGCATCAAACACTGTGAACTTGTCCCCAAGAGAGATAACCTCGATCTCAAACGCAAACCCGTCGGGTCGAGAGTCGGACCAGAAGTAGTTCTCGTTGTCGTTCAGTTTGCCTTCATCAGGTTGGAATGTAAAGCGACGAGCATAGCCGCGACCAATGTTCTGCAACGCGAGCGCTCGGCCTCCGAACATGTAGTGTCCTCTCTGTGAAACATAAAGCTTAAGTCAGACCGATTCAAGACTCGATGAATGCAAAAATCTAAGGATGGGATTTTAGGTTGTATTGTTGTGTCTAAGAAACAGCTGTTTCGTCACACGTATAGCGCTTAACTTTAATCCATTTTTGGGTTCTTTACCCAACACAGCTTAGAAATTTGCCTATGCTATCTAAAGTAACACAGGGCTAAAAACACTATAGTTTGGCCGCTTAGAAAACCACCTGCGTGCTAACGCTAAACCAATGCTGGAGGAGGTCGCTTTCTAAGCGGCCGAACTATAGCATTCCTGGCAAGGTTCATGTAACTTAACAAGTAAATGAAACCTACAATTTTACTTTTTGAATTTAATGATGGTCCTAAAGACTCAAGATTTTACAAATTTGATTGGGATAGTAGGCTTAACTCAAGGGTAAAGAGCTCACGCTGGCACAAGAAATCAATAAACAAATATTAGAATATTTCACTGTTAGTGTTAATTGGAAATTAAATATTAAATTTTTTTAGAACATTGTATTTTTAAAGTTTTTCATTTCTTAGCCAGGATGAACTCTTTTGCATTTCATGTGACTCAACTATTCCGACCGCAATCCTTAAAACTTTATTCTGAGGCAAATTTAAAACTTGTTCCTAAAGATTCCAATATTTTTTGACTAACAAAACTTAAATTTTAGTAAACGGTTTGAACCGGTACGCACCTGTTGGTCCAGAGGGCGGACACGGTACTTGTACCCGGTGGTAACTCTGGGGTCCACCCAGACTCCAACGACCAGCTGCTCATGGAGTGCCGGCGCCGGGACACGGTACAGCGCCGGGATGTCCTTCAAGCTGGCTCCATCCAACACAACCCGCGCCGGTTCTGCCTTGCAGACAGCAACCGGCCCAAGACAGCAGAGTCCCGGCACTTCTGCATTCTGGTCCTACACAGAAAGAATTGGTTACATATAAAACCTACTTGAAACAAGAAATGGTTGCATTATGATCGATGATCAAAGGTATGAGGTAATTCTTTTTGTAGAGTAAAATTGAATCATATTTTGAGAAACTTAACATTCAAAATATCAGATGATTCATAGTTAATTTGATGAATGGTTTTGCTTTCTAATCACTTACAGTTACTTAACTTTTTTCTTGGTCATATTTAGAATACCCAAGTGGTTGGTAACGATTTTTCTCTGAGTTATAAAATTCTCATAATATAGCTAGTGTATTCATTTTAAAACTCTAGAAACGACTAAGAGGTAGAAATATACAAAGATATTAACAAACTCTCTAACCTTACTACTTAAGAATCATTCTTCATAAAACGCCTGAACCATTAAAAAAGCCATTAAAATATTCTGTTCATTAGTATTCAAACTAGATTTTTCTAAATTAGCCGTAAGCTTAGTCAATCCCAGCAACTAAAGGAAAGGGAAACTATCTACGTGAACAAAAGTGCACGTACAGCTCTTATGAGAAGAACGGCAACGCAACTCATTGTGTTTATGTTTGAACCCAGACTAACGTTTGGCGCACTTATTTTTTGGCAGCGCAAGTTAGCTATTAGTCTTTTGCACTAAGTACAACGAGGTTTATTTTGGGAAGGTTAGACGCACACCTACTCAATGTCGCTTGAACATTGTGTACTAGCGTGAATGGTTACCTTTGCCAATGGGAACTGATTTTATGAGTAGGGGTTCAGTTAATTGACAGCACAATTTTATGGTGTATTTTCTTTCTAATTTTTGCTACCCATACATAATTTGTGTTTATACAAACAAGGATGCAATTTTAATACTTTTTCTTAATTTAACAAATATACAGTGCATAGATTTAAACCATTGAAATCTTTTTACAACAATAATGTTTCTATCATACTATACCTATTTTTTTTACGTACGATAAAGCTACCATTTTTAATTAAAGTCCCGAGGGTTCCAACCACTTTGTTACGCTTCATTTGCTTGTTTCGCTAGTTTCAAAAAGGCTTCAGAGACCCAATCAGAACTTGGCGGCTTCCTAAAATGCATCACACGTCCTTGGACTAATGAATCGGTTTTCTACGCTTTATCTTGTAGTAGTTATATGCTTGAATGGACTTTTTCTTACATCATTTAAAAATTCTAGTTCAATGATTCTTTATCCTCTGAATATAAATATTTCACCTGCATTCTTCTAGATAAATTGTTTTTATCAACAGGGAATTTATTAGGCCTATTGGGTTTACCTTTAGACTAAACAATTAATTACTGTAAATTTATGGCTCATTGTTACATGTTTTTTGAAAATGAATACATAAATATGTCTGCATTAGATTATTTTTGACAATTTTTATGGTCAAAGGTAAATTAACATTTGTAAACATTTCTTTCTTTAATTTTTTTTGTTTTGCAAATATATACGCCATTGGCATTTTTAATGTTTTGTTACAAGGAACAGTCCAATACCCTTTATGGCAACAAACAGAATTAGATACATACATTAGTGCTATAACTAGTGAAGAGTGAGAGAATATTTTAAGCAGGGCTCTTAGCGCAGAATGTATTTTCGGTCCAACAATTATAGCTTCACACGGCCAATGTGAAGGCTGTTCACTAAATTCACGAATCAGCACTAACAACGCTAATATTAGCGTCTTTATGCAAACTTGTCCCTACAGTCTTTTAGAATTACCCTACTTATTGGCTACAAAATCAGTACTAATTAGCGTCATTTATGCAAACTTGACTTTTCCATCTGTAAGAGTGTAAATTGAGCACAAACTATTAACCAATTTGTGTAATGTTTACAAAATTTGGTGCCAAAAATTTACAAAACAAAAGTTAACCCCTTTAACTATTTCAAGCAGAATTATAAGTTTCATGAGTTTAAACGATTTTTATAACAATTAGCCTCCTGGAATTCCTTAAAATTATATTTTTGAAATTTACGCCACCATAGGACTTGTCGCCTAAACTGTACACTTAAATCATCAATTGATTGATTTTTAAAATTAAAACATTGATTCTTGTTTCTTCTTCAAAACAATAAGTAAAAATATTAACATTTTTTTAAAGTTATATCTTTGACTATTAATACAACAACAAACATTTTAACTTGATTGAATAAATGGATAAAAGTATATGAATGGCTATTCAAAAACAAACCAGTGATCTATCATAGCCTCTAGAAGAACAATAATGTTTTATAACCATAACATAATTATTACCATCGTGAAAGGATCACAGTTAACATTAGATCGTGAAGACTACGGTGACAAAACAAAGGATTCGCTTCATTTGAATGTGTACTGTTAATTATGAAGTACTTTAAAATTTTCAGAATATAAATAAAGGTTATTGTGTTGTATTAACCATTTTTATCGGGAATTTTGATTTATAGTTTTGCAAAAAATTTCACTGTGAAGAAATATATTCTGTGTGTACTAGAGGTGAAAGCCAAAGCAATCACGATGTGGCGCCTCGACTGTACCCCTTGCCCCCCCCCCCCCATGCCCCGCCCCGCTGCGCAGTTGTCTGCTGTCTAAGCAAGTCTTTAATCACATGTCACTCCGGGTTGCCTTACATTGCATCCTATTTATATCTTTGGCGTCTACCCCAGTTTCGCACCAACTTCTGGCACTGTAATTTCTCAAACTAACATTTGGAGTGTTTACTTACACTGATCAATGGATTTATGCAAATCACACAATTATCATTCTTAGTGGTTTGAGATTTTGATGAAATATTTATATTAATAAATATTAATAGTTGGTTTTGTAGCAAAAGAGTTTGGTAGAGCAAATAAATTCGCTATGAATGATTACAATGTAAAACAACATTTCTTTGGTACCTATTTACAATCACTTCATTTAATCAACACTGATTCCTCTTTGAAAAACTCTAATACATTTCTAACAAATTTGACCTACTTTAAATTCAAATAAATGTGTTGGAATTATGGTTAGTGATTTATTAAAACATTTCTTTAGCCTAGTCATTCGTTTTTAATTAGGTGTTGCGGGAGCATTTTGATTTCTAAAATACTCATGACTTAGAGGGGTTTGTTCTGCTTTAGCAAGTGTTTGTCTTAAACAACTACAAGAACTTGCAGATAATTCTTTTTTAAATTCTTAAATTGATTATTTTTTGCTGTGTTTCAGGGTTATTAACGACTAAAATCATTAAAATACTTTTAATATCTTTCCTTGTCATATTTTATGGGGTAGGGTAAAAGATTGACAATTAACAGTACTGTATTACCATAGAAAAAAGAATAAAATATCATTATGCTTATCTATGTTATAAATATTTTTTTTCATTCCAGAATCCAAGATTTAAGTATAAATAGATCATTCTAATACATTAGGATACGTTTTTTTACTCTAAGCTCTCCTCCTACGAGTAAGATATTATGACTGACCTGCTCCGTGAAGAGGAAGGCGTCCTGGAAGCAGCCGGTGGGAGCCGGACTGCAAGCTCTGCTCTTGGACACGGTCTCATCACTCTGGAACATAAAGGGAAACTTGGTAAACAAAAACTATCAATAATCAATCAATGGAGAACATTAGACAAACTACAGTATTAACAAACAATCCATGGAGAACATTTGGTAATGACACACTATCAATAACCAATTACAGTAGATTATCCACATAAATCTATCCATATAGAATAGATTATAGATTTTTACGATGACAACACCTTGTAACCCACAGACCTGTGATTGCTGGATGAATCAGACGACGCAGCTTTGTCACTTACTAAGATCAGCTGATTGTTTAGAGACCATTCACTAAAAGCCCTAACCAAGGACAGCTTGATCAAGTTCCAACTCAATAAAAAGCTTGTGACTTTTCTCAGGATCGAACTAGAGACCTTCTGATCACGAGGTAAGCACAGTATCACTCAACTACTGAAATAGTGATTATTGTAAACACAGAGAGAATACTGGTAATGAAAACACCTTTAATCAAACATAATCTATCAACAAAGAGAAGTTTGGAAACACGCAGTAAATACTCCTTTTAATCGAACAGATTGGATTTTGTAAACTAGATCTATTTTAATTCAAGAGATTAATGTTAAGGGACTTGTTATGTTGTTGTGTTGTTGTTTTTGTTGCTCTAACATATGAAGACTATTAACCCTATGTTGTTTACTTATAATAATGTTTATTCCTAAGAAATTGTTTTATGTTTCAGTAGAACACTCTAAAGTCAACTGTTTCATGTTACATTTTCCCTTTTACTAATTAAAATAAATTAGATCTGCATGTAACAATTGCAATAATACAAATTTAATCCAAATTATGGTAACCTACATACACATAACATGCTGGGAACACATTAATTACAAGTTAAAACATGTTTTAAGTTATCTTCTAAACAATTAAAGCTGCTGTGTATTTGGTAGCATACACAATAATTGCAAGTAAAGCATGGTTATCTTCTAAACAATTAAATCAGCTGTGTGGTTGGTAGCATACACATTAGTGAGTCAAAACATGCATGACCAATATGGGTTATCTTTCAAACAATTACAGCTGCTGTGTTAGCTCTGTGTAGATATGGCATGGTTAAAGATCTCTTTCGTAATTGTTTGACAACAAACCTCCATACAATTAACCTCAAGTCAACTGCACTTGATGATAACAGTATGAACAATTACTACACTGATAACAGATGGTATGTTCATTTCCTATTTGCAATTTTTATATTAACTCCATTGATAGACATCTTTCATTGTTTCATTTACAAGATTGTTTAGTTGTTTATAATGTGTTAATACAATACTAATAACTTCACTGGTACTGTTGGTACCAAATTATTCTATGTTTGATAGATTGAAAGGTGTGATGGATAATTGTAATTTTAGAATTTGTTTGGTGAAACACAATGATGTAGCTTGCTGTAGGCTTTAAAATAAAGAAATCACAAACTTCATGCCTTATGTCTTTGTTAGGGGGGACAGACCACCCTAATTTTTAGACGGGTTTATTGATAAATAAATCAATGTTTATTCGTATAACCCCATGACTTCCAGGTAGTTTTTGCCCCCTACTATTAATTTAGTCAATTGCCAACACTGTGTGTGAGGCTACATACGTAATAAAGACAAGAACATTTATTAAGGTAGTTTAGTTTTGTATTGCCTGATTATTTAAATTATTTCTCAAAACAAATCTCTAAATACTGTATATTCCAATTTAATTTCTATAGTGAAAAGTGTAAAATGCTTTAAAATGATTTTCCTCTTTTACTCTTCTACTCTAGATTGAAATGGCATGGTCTACTGGTATTACAATCACTGAATGAAATAATAAGTTCTGCATCTGCACAACATTTTTATAATATATAAACACCAAATTTCAGAATGGATATGATGCTTAAAAAACTAAATATTCAAAATAGCTCTAAAAGTGATTACTGATACAGGAAGAATTAACATTATGGGAAGTGTTTAATTTCATGAAATTATTAAATGAAGTTCACCTTCGCCGACAGATTTCTGCTAAGGTGATTAAGGTAAAGTGGAGTTTGAATTTCCCTTGAATCACTGAAACATGTCTAATAACGGAAACTATACAGTAAATATTGTTTCTACTTTACTTTATCGATGTGTTTTAAACTTGGTAAAAAGAATGTGAATTCTAAAGGATTTAAATTACTATGCTAATACATACAGTTAAAAAATAACATGCTGTTAAACCCAATTGATTAGAAGAATGATTAAGTTAAAATAGGATGTTATTAAATGCTTGGAATTGAAACAAGTAAAACTAGCAACACAGTACATTTTGAAAGTCTACGCTAAAAAACAACTAGGTCTTAGCTTATAAATACAGTTTATAGCAGACTTTAACACATATTTTACAATCAATCCAGTTTTAATTTTTCTTCCAAAACAAATATATCCACTTTCCCAGATTTATTATTCTTATGAATCACCTGGAGACGATTTTAATGTTAAAATGTCAAGTTCATATAAAAGCATGTTTTTGTTTACAATTTTTGTTTGTTTCTCTCTTCTTTAGTTGAAAATGGTGCCAGTAACGGTGAAATATTCTAATGTTTTGTGTATATAAAGTAGAGTTTTGTGTTTCTTGTGCCTGATTGGACTCTTTCCCATTCAGGTAAGCCTGCTGATATCCTTACTAAAAATCACGTATCTAAATTTATTATGCTACAGAGCGCCGCAGGTTTAAGCAAACCCGCAATGTTACAGTTGTTTTCTTTTCAATATTTTTGTCCAAACCTCCATAATGTGCTCATACACTAGAAATTTTGTATGCAAAACAAATTAAGCGATCAAACTATAAACAAAGGCCGTACCAAAGAGTAAAGCACAAATGTTGACCCTAAAATAAAAGAGGAAAAATATTGGACACAAACACTTTTTACAGGAAATGCCTTAGTTTGATATTTAAAATATTACAAATTCGCAGATATTACACCAAGCTTTGAAACTGAACAAATTCCTATGGCATTTTGCCAGTACTTTCTCCCCATAAAGAGTGTGTCTTGTCAATCTAACCTCAAAGTCTATGATTCACTGCTGCAGGTCTGTCTCTATAGTCAAGCCTCATATCAAGGGTGGTCAACCTTATCAGTATTCTGTTAGGAGTCCTGACCTTGGGGCAATGCCCTTGGAAGCCAGACTTTTATTCATCCTTTGAATTAGGACCTTCCCTTCAAAACCGGTTTGGATAACCTCTTTGTTCCACTTTTTCTTTGATTTTTTTGTCCCAATGGACCAGAGACCTTTCTTTGCTTCTATCTCTTTAAATAGTGTTTACTGTTTGCACTTAAAAAGAGGTTATGTGGGTCAACAATATATTAGTTGTTTAGATTTTTTTTATGTTGCAACTTGCACATACACAATTTACAATCACCACAATACCTAATATTGGGTACCGGTAATTCTTAAAAAATTATAGTTGAAATTATTTGAATCAAGCTATAAAGTGTGTATTAACCGGCACCTTTGTTCTAAATATTGTTCAAAAAATGTAAAGAGGTTAAACAGAAGAGATTTGATCACGGAGTTGTTTAATCACAAAAGGCTCACAAAGGTTACACCACCATGATTACATAACTTCAGATTTTGAAAGTCTAATACAAAAAGCCAAGTGGAAATTTTATTAAAGTATGCCAGGACATGAGGGCAGTTATAACAGTGTTTGCACTTTTTATAACAAAAAGGTTAAGGCTATAAAAAATTGTGTAGCCATTCAAATATTCAGATAAAATTCCATGCAAGTTTAAGACTTCTTTCTTTATTATTTTTCTCACCATAAATCTTTCAAGAAACATAACTAAGGTGTGCAAAAACTTGCAAATAATTTTGTACCTAACCTGCATTATGTTCAACCAAATCTTTGTTTGGAAATATTTTGTCATGTGACAAAATAATATTTTCACTTCAAAATGTTTCTAAATAGTTCTAAATCTCTGAGGAAACTCCCCGAGTCCTTAGACAAAATACTCTAGGAGACACTCAACATAAACTGTACCAGAGTGCATTGGATGCATGATGCATAATTAGTTCAAGGAGAAAACTGGAATTCTATATATATCCCAGACCACTACGCCTCTGGTTGTGGCGCCAACTTCGCGACTCTGCTCCTGGTTTTGCGATTATCTACCTTTCTCCCTTACTCAGCAGGTTAAACTAGTTTCGACGCTAATGTGTATGTACCATTTAAAAAGTTTAATAAAAAATAGTAATTGGGTAGCCCAACAATGGCCAAATAGATTAGTTACAGTAATGTCCACAATTTTTGTAGTTCTGGTACGGTACTCGTTAATTAAAGCACAGTTAAAGATTAACTAATCTTAATTACAGCTTGTTTTAATTAGATTTGTGTCTAAAGGATTTTTAGCTGTTGAAATTATTTTTTTCCTTACAATGAGAAATAGTGAAAATTCAGTTATATTAGGTAATTTTTAAATTTATAGCTTTAAATTTTGTGTTTATTAAGATGATGTCATAAATTATTGTATTATAAACCTTCTGTGAATTTAACTGTGTGTGTGTCAAATTGTATTTGGTCATTTGCACAATCAAATGTGTTTTTGTTCCTGAAATGTTGAGGTTTTGTTTAAACTGGATATATGTTTGTGTGTGCTGCAAACCATTAAAAATATTTGTCTAATGTGTTTTAAATTTCGATGAGATTTTTCTTGCTAAAATAAGTCATTGTGAAAAATTTTTGTTGGTAACTAAATATCAGGATCTTTCATTATAATTTTCAGAGTTTAAATTCAAAATTTGAATTTTTTCCCAAAGTTTAGTTAAAAATATACCTTCAGTGGCAATCAAATATGAACACCTCAAAGAAACGAGTACCCTATAACAAAAGTATTTGCACCTTCTTTCATTTTAAGTAACACTTTTAGTTGTTAGCCTGTTAAAGAAAATGTGGAAAGAATTATATATGGAAACCATACAGCCGATGATGATAATAATGAAAAGATTTTCTATATGATTTACACTGGCAACCAATGTTGATGTTAACAATTAAAAATCTCCTTTAACATTTCCCACCTCCTTTTAGCTTCCTATTTACATTTACTAATCATATGTTTGACAATGCAAAATTAGGACTGTTTCACATGAAATGATTAAGGCTAATTAACCAGCTGATAACACAGTAAGAATGAATCACCAGATGTGTAATTTTACATCCTGTAGAGATAACTTTAAGGGATGCACTTAAGAATCATATTGAATGTGGACAGCTGATCACAAAACTATGGTTAATCTATAAAAATATCAAATAAACAGGCGTTTTACTGTTATCCAGAGTTAGAACTCAGGTAAAATACCCCCGCCGCAGCAAACCTGCAGACTAAGCGAATTTCCATATGTCTGATTGGATTTACACTAAAATGTCTACTTAAAAATTTAACATTTATTTCCTATTTAAATAGAATTATTTTAACAGGTACTTAGGTTTGCTGCATCAGGGAGGGTAAAACTTTTTTTTGTAAAATGTTAATAGTTAGTAAGAAATAAAAACATTTTCCAAATTTGATCAAAATATGTTCATAAACAAGCAAACTACAACAGTTTACTCATTCTCCATAAGAATAACATGGGAATTTAAAATTTACATTTTTTTGGAATTTTCTCCGTAACCATTAGGCGCATAGTAACACTTCAATATACTAAATTATTTGTTTTTTTAAGCTCTACAAAATGGTTTGAAAAGATTTTGCAAAATTTGTTTTTTTTTTTGTAAAAAATGGGAAAAACCTATTTTTACCCATAAAACCCCCCGTAAACCCCCGTTCCCATAGTCCGATCATGCTGGTTCGCGAACTCGTTCGAGTTTATCCCGCCTTACACCTTCAAACCAAATTTTATCAAAATCGGACAAAAATTACTCAAGTTATCGTGCGGATGGACACACACACATATATATATATATCTCTATATATAGATATATATATATATCTCTATATATAGATATATAAAAATTTGAACGAATGGTGTTTTTGGCCTCTGGGGACATCAAAATGAAAAAGTAAATCGGTCCCGGGCCTAGGTCTTACCATGAGACCTACGGTAATAGCTACTTCCCTATAGGGAAATTCGCTAAAACTAGGATTAACTTATACCATATCATCCATCATCAGATTGGACATGATTCATTGAAACATAATTTTAAATATTTGCCGCCTTAAAATAATTTTCAGTACAGTGTGTACTGAAAATAATCCAGTTAATGTTAAAATCTGATTTTATTTCTATTCACAATAATTAAAAAAAAAACTTTTACGTTATTTATCCGATTTTCACCCCCAAAAAAGTGAAATTTCCAACCGGGGATCCACATACCTCAAATTGTGCTGAAGGGAACACATCACGATCCTCCAACAATTCTGCAATGATGTCGCTCTCCTCATGTACCGTAGATCCGTTCAATCTTCGCGCCCACAACCTCTGCAACGCCAAGGGTGTGATCGTGTCTGGGACCAGCTGTTCTGAAGTTGTCTCCATCTTCTCCAATACACAGCGCTAACGTCGCTTCTAGAATGTTCGGCCACCTGGTTTCCTTTGCGCCTGCCTCGAAGGACCAGCTGATCGTAAACGTCAGGGTTGGAACGTATTGATCGGCCGGTTTTCGCAAAGCTAAATAATTACCAAATCTATGCGATCTTGTGGAATAACGAACAACTCTAACTGGGATATAGGATCAGTAACAGTCGAAAATGTAATCTACAGGAATAAATTTGATCGAGAAAGTTGTATTCGCTTCTGAGCTAGAGCGATCCTGAACTCAAACTGAACTGAACTGACCCGGTCGGCGTCGGTGACGTTTGTTTAGTTTCTTCCACATGTCTCCCCCTCCTACTTTCCTCTGATTGGTCGAGACGTTTGCACGTGAACAGTGGGTGATCCCCCCACCACCACTACGTCGCTTGCGGTGAAAGGGGTTGATTTGATTGTTGATGTTTTGTTTGTTGACATTTGACATAATCACATGGCGTGTGCCGTAGCCCAACTAGCAGGATTGGTTGATTGTGTTCATTTATACAGAATTTTGACTTGCAGATCAATTTTTTTAACTGTGGCGAAAGGTTCAGATGATTTTTTTTTCAATTTTTTATTTGACTTTCATATCCTAATACTTGTAATATGTTGAGTAGTAAGAGACGTGTCAATCAGATTAAATGTTTATTTACTATAGCTCTAAGCCTTTTGGTTTTATAACCTAATTTGGTCTATATTTTTATTAAGTCATTAAAAAAACGCTACGCAATAAAAAATGATTCACTAGACCTACAAAACGTAATAACACAGGGAATACAATGTCTGAAGACGCAAGTACTAGACTAATCTTTCATGTAGGTGAAAATTCACCTATTGAGAATGAATTACAACATTTTGTGATTTAGTACTATTTTCACTGTACAGTATATTCAAATCGACTGAGTAAGAGTAGTAAATGTTTAAATTCAACAGCAGCATATAAGCATTGACTAAGGAAACAAAAGAAACAAAGGAAACTTTGTTTCCCTTGTCTGTGATATAAGCTATGAAAAATATTAAGAAATCATTGAAACTTACGAAATGATTTTACAAGTACAGTATCAGAATTTACATCTAAAAGAGTAAATAAGTACTTATTTTGCTGTGTTCTAAACTATATTACAACAGGTTTGTTGATTAATTAAATGTGGCGATGATACAATCTAACGAATTAGGCATGAGCCATGACAATAATCAACCAGTCGTCCACGACCAACTTTGCCATTAAATCGATTTTTCTAGATTTTTTTAAATTTTGTCAACTGCTGTGCATATACAATTTTTCACATCGATTGCCAAATACTCCCGGAGCAGACGATTAGACATACTGTAGGATCCGTTCTTCTTGGATCTTCATGAATTGTATTGATTTAGTTTTAGTTGCGTGATATGGAATGCAATATAGTCTTTCTGTCCCATGAACGCACTCCCTTGTTGCTTTAATATCCTTATCATTCTTATCATCATCCTTAAACGTAACCTTATGCAAACAATTGAATGTCCAAAGAAAACACCATCATAATCTATTTACTCTGATAGGTGAAAGAAACTTACAACAAAACGTAACGGACATCATGTCAAAGCAGACTTTAGTTAAAAAATTACTTATACAGTACAGTATGTACAATCTATGACCTCATTATTGAAGAATATCCAGAAATAATGACAACGTTAACTAGAAAACAAAGGTTCTACAATTAAAAATCGATGAGTGCCATTCCTAAAAAAGTTAAATACACCATAACACTATTTTAATTATTCAAAAATATTTAAGTACCCTATACTCACTAAGTTTACTAAAGTTTATTAAAATTCAATTAATAAAAATATAAAACCAAGTTTTTTTGTATGGAGCCCTTTTGCAATAACTTTAAAATACTCAGTAAAATAATTAAAGTATATTCAATCAGGTAAGACCCAGAATAATATCATAGATTAAACATACTCCCTTAGGGGAGTATGTTTAAACAAATGTATGGTTAAACATACTCCCTTAGGAGTATGATTAAGGAGTATGTTTAATATATGATAATATGTAAGCATTTTGTCCCCAGAAAAAAATAATCAGCTTCGCAGGGGGCCCAGTTATTCAACTCGTGTTCGGTTATGTAAGATCGAAAAACTATCTAACGTAAATGCTAACCCTGCGATAACCTCTGTATCTATATTGGAAACTTAGAGATCAGCTTCGATTTGGACCATCTTATCTTAATTTGCATTGACATTTCTGCTAAAAGATACTAAAAAGCCACTGTTTGACATAGATATGCGTCGTTAATGCTCTGTAAATGTTTATTTTTTCTGTTGACTGGATTTTTTGTCTGTTCTTTATATAGCAGAAAACATGAGTCTATTTCATTTTATTTTTATTTCGTTTGGAAACAATTAACAATGCAAATATAAATAAGATTCGTGAGAGGGCGTATTTATTGTGTGCCTTTTATTTCCCAACGTTTAAAGTTGATTACATAATTATGTTCACGGATTGTCGAGTTTCAAAATGGATCACAATTAATTTGTCAATTTGAACCAACAACGATTTTGTACTGTATTCCAATGTCAAAAAACCGATAAGAATTAATTTCGTTTGTGTTTTCAAATAATTCAGAGTTATTAAACGAAAATATCCTATGGAAGAAAACAGGAACCTCTAAAACTATTGTCACATAACCTTAAAAGATTTTCAATTAGACTTTGAGTAAATATTTAATTCATGTGGTACAATTACTTTTGGCAATATAAGTTTGTGTGTACATAAAATAGCTACAACTCAGTCGCACAAAATCAGCTGTTTTCATAGTTGCATTGTTGTGATGTTAAATATTTTGCTAAAAATATAACTTTCCCTTTAGACTTTTACTGAAATTCTAAAATTTCTAAATTATCTGTTTGAATGAAACCCAAATTTCCAAGATTCCCTTCATCAGCCAAACAGCACCGTTTTATTATTTTGGTTTCAAGAACAATACGAAAACAAATTTAAGTTAAAGATTTTTCATTCATATAGCCTTCTTCAACCAGTCGCCTAAGAAAACTCAAACTGTTGTATTCCTTTTGTAGAATGCACTTCCGTTAGTTGTTCTTTAAATAGAATCTAAATTAAACTAAAAGACCTCCTCTTCCCAAGGCTAAATACAAAGCGCTAACTATAGCTAATTTAGTTATATTCCAGCTATTGAAGTCCATCTTCTCTCATACTATAAAGAATAGGCAATCCACAGGAGAGTGAGGGCCATAAAATGGTAATCGGGAATCATTGACTATACAATTCAAAGTCTAATAACACTCCATTATCCAGCTAAATTACATACTTACTGTAATTCCCTCATTTCAACTTCCAATCTTTAAATACTATCCTCCTCAGAACGGAAGCATAGCTTAAAAATACATACTAAAATACTAGACCTAACTTATAGCTAGACTGAAAAAGGTTCAAGTTTTAAATCTGTTTTAAAGAACACACAAACAAATCTATAATGACCAACCCATACCAAGTTATGGCACAAATTAGAACTAAATCAAATGTTTGATTGGTTGTGTACAAAATTATCTCAATTATCAAGTCAATTATCTATCATTGAGATGGGGACGCCACCTACGTGCGTATTTCAACCCAAATATGAGTACAGAATGAGTGTAGAGTGAAGTGAGATGCTATGTGTAGCTTTGTTACTGACTAAGAACAGCTGTTTCATCAGCTAGGATCATTAATTCAAAGCCCAATCATCAGGGACAGCTGGGTCCAGTTTCAAATAATCAAAAAGCTGCTGACTTTTCTCAGAATCGAACCGGTGACCTTTTGATTGTTAGGCGAGCACCATATCCACCAAGTCATATGAATACAGATGCAATATGATTGAAATGTCAGTTGAACTATGATCTTATTATGATAAAATATATGATTGCAATTACTACAAAATGTATTAAATTAATTTGACAATCTTACCAAAACACCCATGATTCTAGTGTGAAGAGCGGACGCCAGTTTTGATCTTGTTCGTTGCTCCAGTTTGAGAAAGTTAAAAGCTTAAAAGGTTTTCACTCGATGATTTTTCACTCGAAAATGCCGAAAATACGACTAGCAATCTTCACAATAAAAGCAAAGAAAAGCTAAGCTAAGTGTTTAACTTTCTAAGAGCACGGCGCGGTTTGTGTCGGAAAGCTAACACTTGAAAGAATTAGAATGTTAAAGTCAGCTGATTTTTATACGAATCGAGGTAATAAATTGTTCTGATGAAATTCCACATGATGCAACGCGAGAAATTTCCGGAACAACAATAAATCTATCAGCTGATGAAATAGTTGCAACGGTCTTCGCGAGTTATACTTGCAAAAATTAAATATTTGTTGTTTTATAGTTAATGTGTTTTTAGAATGGTTTAAAGATTCGAGTAGAATTGAAAAGTTATTGAAATACTAATCTTAATTTACAAAATTATCTTTGTAATTCCCCTAATATAATGTTTCAGTTAAAATTAAACCCTACGACAACATGTAGGTAATAAATAAAAATTTTATACATACCAACATTAATTGGTCCATTGGTCGAATAAATAAAATAATAAAATAAACTCACGCCATTAAAATCGTTGACAATCGAAACCAGTGAGATGGTAAACGATCTCTTATATTCCAGTGTCCATCCTCTTTACATCTTATTATTTTCGAATTTACAAAAGTGGACAATAATAACGATGTACCTCCAAAGAAAAAAAACGAACCATAGAAGAAATAATACAGTATTCATTAACTTAAAAAAAAATAACGTTAACAACCACTTTTCAAACAAAGTAACCAACAGAACAACCCAAACATTAGACTCATTCATACAATGTCAGCTTGTATATGTACCAACTCCTCTAAGAATAAAGATAATTTGTCAAAATTTAATAAGTTTGATAAAAATCGAAATCCAACGAAAATGAAATATTCCCTCGCTATCGGCACGAGGTAGACACGTTGCCATTTGATGTACGTAGTTTAATGTATGGTTTGTTGCTAAATCATCTCGCCTAAAGCAATACTAGACTGTAATTACTTCATTGTGCAGTATTTTTAACCGTGTCTTGCAATGGATGGAACACGATTTGAAAAACCCTTAAGTTATTGTTTAAAACCACTATCAACATTAATGTAGAACATTAATATACAAAACATGCATATTTTCATATAATCAATGGATTTCTCTAAGTATACACAGCTGATTTAACTGTTTCCCAAAATATCAGATCGATTTGTTCAGTCAGCTGTTTGGCTGGGTAAAACATTAT